CCTCGTGTTTTTCGCTTGTTGTCCCGAATCTGGTCTAATTACAATCTGTGCCTTCACTGAAGGTGCCCCCCGCTGCTCGGCGCCCCGTCCCGCCCCGCCCTCTCCGAGTCCTGTAGACTCCTTTACAATGCCCGCCGAAACTTTCGTCCAGCAGCTTTTTCAAGCAGCCGTCTATGTTATTGTTGAACAACTTTCATTTTCAGCTCGTCGAAATTCGGAATCAGTCCTCGGCCGCAAAAGTGCGAGGGGGTCGCGGCACGGCCGGGCGCGGCGCGTGCGGCGTTGCGGGCGGCAGGGCCTCGGCCGGGCCGGCCTGCAGCAATGGAAACAATTTGTTTCTAGAGAGAGGGAGAGGGAGGGCGAGCGGGGCCCGAGGTGGGAGCGAGAGGTAAACAACTTATTTGCGTTTCGGAAAGTCACCCCGTAATGAGCCGCCTGTTACTCGGCTCGGCTCGGCTCGGCGTCACGGCTATAAAGGCTGCGAAAACACGGCGGAGGCACGCCGGCCGAGACCGAGGAGAGGAGAGGACCGGGCAGAAAGTGACCGAATCGATTCTCGTTTTAATTCGATCGCTAAACTTGCTTGCGACGCCGCTGCTACGGCTACTGCCGCTGCTTCAGTTTTAGAAGAAATGATTATATCCGCCGCCACGGCCCCGCCGCCCCGCCGCCCCGCGCCCTGGAACTTTGCCGAGCTCCTCTCCGTCGAGTCCCTGGTCCTCGAGGCCCTCGTCGCCGAGGCGGGCCGCGCGGGGCGCCGTGTCCTCGTCGTCCTCGTTGCGCGCGTAGCGCGTGGCCGCCGTAATTACCAAAACGCGCCCCAACTCAAAAAGGCGGGAAAAGGAGAGGGGACGGTAATCGCCGGGGATTGGATTATCTCGATTATCTGCGAGGATCCTCGTCGCGCCGCCGTCGAGGATGCGGCCGGACGATGCACAGTGGGCCAGAAGACCGGTGGAGGCGGTCGCAATCCCGGACGCGTTTTGGGCGCCAGAGTGGGTAAATGGGACTCGAACCGAACGTGTGACCCCACCGATGGATTGCTCTCCGAACGAGGAGTCCATTGGTGGGTCACACGCTCAGTTCGAGTCCTGTTTAGTAGTGTTAGCCACTCTGGAGGTCAAAACGCGTCTAGAGTTTTGGCGGCCTCCACCGGTCTTCTGGCCCACTGCGCGATGCACGACGTCTGCGGCACGGAAATTTCTGAGCGGCGCACGACGGACGCGCGTCGTTGTCCTCTTCGATGCGCGCGGAATTTCCAGTGGCACGGCCCTAAAATGAATGACGCGGTGAGAGGAGTGGATGACCGCCCGGGGGTCCTTTCTGCGCACCGAAAGCCATTCTGGTTAGTGACTCTTTGCGTCACTCCTGCATCCATCCGTCGTTTACGATGACCACTAAAAGCCGGCATGCAGCGCGGCCGCCACGCCACGGCCGGTACAGGAATACAGGGACGCGAAGGCATCGAAAATACGCGGCCCGGCCCGGCAGGATACGCACACGGAGGCGACGCGAGGCGACGCGCGGCCCGAAAAATACGAGCGCGGCAGTGCGGGACTCGGGACGGAAAGAGGGCTGGCGGGGCCGGGGCTGGCGCAGCGCTCTGGTGTTCGCTGGCGTTCTTTGCGTTGAGGTGTAATCAGAGGCGACAAGGCCGCCCTTCCCGTCGCTCTGTGTATTTGTGTCAAATTCCACACACAAGCCAGCGCCCCGTCCCGGCCGCTCCCCCCCCCCTCCTCCCCCGCGTGACCCCGTCCCGCCGTCCCGCTACGCCTCGCCACGCCTCGCCACGCCCCACCACGCCACGCCTCGCCACGCCCCGCCACGCCACGCCCTTCTGCCCTTCTGTACCATCTGACTCTGCTGTGCCCTGCCCCCTAATTCCTTTCCTGTGCCCCGCCGTGCACTCTGTGCAGTCGGCCTTCGTCCTGCGCCCATCATCGTCCACCCTTCGACGACCACCCTTCGACGACCACCCTTCGACGACCACCCTTCGACGACCACCCTTCGACGACCACCCTTAGACGACCACCCTTAGACGACCACCCTTCGACGGCCACCCTTCGACGACCACCCTTCGACGACCACCCTTCGACGGCCACCCTTCGACGACCACCCTTAGACGACCACCCTTCGACGACCACCCTTAGACGACCACCCTTAGACGACCACCCTTAGACGACCACCCTTCGACGACCACCCTTAGACGACCACCCTTCGACGACCACCCTTAGACGACCACCCTTCGACGACCACCCTTAGACGACCACCCTTCGACGACCACCCTTAGACGACCACCCTTCGACGGCCACCCTTCGACGACCACCCTTCGACGACCACCCTTAGACGACCACCCTTCGACGACCACCCTTAGACGACCACCCTTGATGACCACCCTTAGACGACCACCCTTCGACGACCACCCTTAGACGACCACCCTTCGACGACCACCCTTCGACGACCACCCTTAGACGACCACCCTTAGACGACCACCCTTCGACGACCACCCTTCGACGACCACCCTTAGACGACCACCCTTCGACGACCACCCTTCGACGACCACCCTTCGACGACCACCCTTCGACGACCACCCTTAGACGACCACCCTTCGACGACCACCCTTCGACGAACACCCTTCGTCCTGCGCCCATCATCGGCCACCCTTCGTCGTCCACACTCGGTCCGTCCGCCTCGCCCTCCACCGTTCTCCCTTCGTCCTTCGTCCTCTGCGCGTCGTCCCCTGCGCGTCGTCCTCTGCCCTGCGCCCTCCGAACTCTGCCCTCCGTCGCCCGGCCGCGCCCACCCCCGGCTCTTTTAAATTATCTCCATCCCTTGGGCCAGGCGCCAGTCGTCTGCTCCCCCTCCGCTCCCCGCCGCGCCCCGCCGCGCCGCGCGCACAGCGGCCGTGGTACAAACACTTGCCCCTTCGTGACGCGCCGTGACGCGCCGTGACGCGCCGTGACGCGCCGTGACGCGGCGGAATGCCGAGGCGCGAAAGCGGATTCCCTTTTCCGGGTCGTTAGTCCGCGAGTGAACGGAGTGGACGGAGTGAACGGACGGGCGACGCGAGCGGAGCAGACAGCATAATGATGATTGCCGTGTGTGAGCGTGTGTGTGAGTACGTCTGTGTTGTGCTCGGCCGCGTGTGTGTAACTAAGTGACTCGTCGTGAACCCCGACTCGCGCGAGGTTGGCGCTGAGGAGGGAGGGTCCGACGGTGGACCTCGCCGCCGATGCTGCCCCACGCGCGCGCCCTTTGGAAGCTGCCCGACCTGACTCTGAACAGTGCTTTCGTCGCTCTGTCTCTTTCGCTCTCGCGCGCCGCGCCGCAGGGGTGCGAGGGAGAAACAGACTGTTTCGGAATCGGGCCGCTGCTCCATAACCAGCAGAAGAAGTGGGCCTCTATCTTCGGCCACTCCGCCGTGTTTTCGTTCTCCGCCGCACTTTGAGGGCTTCCGGCTCGATCGGCGGGACCCGGGCGGGACGGCCCGGACCACGGGCCGGACGGGGCGGGCGGAGCGCGGAGCGCGCATCGGCCGTGACGCAAACCGAGCCGCAAAGGAGGCTGGCCACGAACAAGCCGAACAAGCCAACAAGGGCAGGTTATTGTTTTGTTTTAGTTTTAGCTCCAAGTCCGTGGCCGAGCTCGGCATGCTCGGCGTGGAGCGGGGCGCGGTCACGACAACAGCACTCTCTGCCGGAACCGAAACGTAATTATAACCGGATCCCCCGGTCAATTTCGGCCGTGTGTGATGGCACGGCCCGCCCCCTCGCCTCGCCTCGCCTCGCCTCGCCTCGCCTCGCCTCGCCTCGCCTCGCCAAGGAGGCGAAGGGCGGAAAGTGAGAGTGCGTCCAGCGGGGCGGGGCGGGGCGGGGCGTGGCGGGGCGGGGCGGGGTGGGGCGGGGCGGGGCGGGGCGTGGTGGCCGGGGCTTGGAGTGCCGATCGTAAAAGCTGACTGAGTGCGATACGCGGTAACATTGTACTAGCAGTGCGGCCAGTGCGGCGCTATCGCTCGGAGAGTGGTGGGGGAGGGGGAGCGGAGACGAGACGTATTAAAAACGGATGCGGATAACTTTGTACGGCTGCCTCTTTAGCCGCCCTCAGGGCATGCCTGCTGGCTGAAGCCTCTCACCGCCGCGCGCTTCAAGCTACAAGTGTCAAGCGATTTGGATGTGGGGTCGTTGCGTTTCATTGTGAGACGGGAAAGGCGAGGCAATCCAGGGGAGTTGCACGTGCAATCAGGCGAGAGTGGCCTGGCCCATCGGCCCATAGGGCAACGCAAGGCGTGGCGCAAGGCCTAGCCCTTAGAGGAGTTGCATTAGGAGAGCGATGAGAGCTCGCCACGCCCCGCCCCGCCCTCGGCCGCCGAGGCTGGAGGCTGTAGCGGGGAGCCTGGAAGGGCCGATCGGGCGGGGCCGGCCAGGTAAGATATCCAATGTCACTGGGAACCTACACCGTGTCGCCAGTAGACGAGACGGCGGGGCCGCCCGGGCCGGGACGACCGGGACCTCGGCCGCTCGGCGGCGGCAACGGGGCGGCAGCGGCGGCAGCGCCCAGGGCATAAATACAATCTAAAAGCCATAAAAAGGCTGATTGTTACTCCGGGCAAACGGGCAACGAACGGGCGGCCGGGCCGCTCGGAAAATGGCATATTACCGGGCTGTGTTTAGTCTCTCGATAATGGCTGGGAAGGCCAGAGCCGGAGCCAGGGCCAGAGGGCACGACAAGGTGGCCGTCGCCGTGGCCGTGGGTCGCGGCGCCGCTGGAGACTGGAGACGCTCCGGGGTGGCCGGGGACGAGGCTTGGGACGGCCGGACCCAGCAGGTGATCCGGAGAAAGTGCAAGCCGTTCGGACGGCGACGGCCTGGCCGACGGCCTGGCTTCCCCTGCCGCCACGCGCCACGGGAGGTGCCCGTCGACGGCCACCTCAGAGGCTCCCCGTCGATCGCCGCAAAAATGTCCCCCGGTAGGGACTTCCCCGATGATGGTCGACGTCTTACCTGCAGTGCAGGCGAAGTGCAGGGGCTCAGCGGCGTGCGCTGGGCGTGTCCGTGCTCGCGTGCGTGCGTGCGTGCGTGCGAGGGTGCGTGGTGCGGGGCTCGCGTCCGCGTGCGCCGTGCTCCGCCGTGCTGCGCCGTGCCGGGGCCGTGCCGGGGTGGTGTACACACAGGCAGCACTGCACAGCAGAGGGGGTTGGCAACAAACTGGCTGTGCTCCGCGCTACGCCACGCTACGCCGGCAGCGCCTCGCAGGACAACCCGCCGAACAGCGTCGGAAAATGCCGAAGGGCGGGCGGGCCGCGGGGTGGGGGTGGCGGCGGCGCGGCGCGGTGGGGCGGGGCGGGGCGTGGTGGGGCGCGGCGCGGCGTGGTGGGGCGTGGTGGGGCGAAGGGTTCGGACGGCTCCACTCCGCGGGTGCAACAGGGCTTCAACTGTTGCTGCGCCCTTTCAGCCTGTCGGCCTTTCTGCCCTCCACCCACAGTGTGCCACACAGTGTGCCACACAGTGTGCCGCACAGTGTGCCGCACAGTGTGCCACACAGTGTGCCACACAGTGTGCCACACAGTGTGCCACACGACAACACCCTCAGCCCAACTCAAATTGTAAGTAACGATGCGGCGGGCCGAGCGCACTGAGCGCACCGAGCGCACCGAGCGCCATGCGGCACCGTCTCTCTTCCCTCTATTTCTAACTGCAACTCCAATTACCTCCCCCTCCCCTTGCCGCCCCGCTCGTACGTTTCCTCAGACGCCTCGCGCTGCCCGGGTAGCTAGCGGTGGTGGTGGTTGTGCACCCTGCACTCCAAACACACGGGCCGCGGGCCGCCTCGGCCGCATTGGCGTCACTGAGGCCAGGATTCGTACATAATTCAGCAGTCCGCAGCCGTGCTTGTATTCCACAGCCCTGCACCTGACCCCGCCGCCCTATTCTTCGCACACAGCCACACACAGCAGCCCGAGAGGCAAGCCCGCCACGCCGCGCCACGCCGCGCCACGCCACGAATAATCTTGAAAGACTGACAGAAGAACGAGCAAGGGGTGCGGCGCTGCCGAGGGCGCTCCGGACGCCCTTGATCTGCTCGGAGTGCTCGATGCCGCCTCCCTTTTATTAAGTACTCGCGTGCAGCCCCACAGCGTCCCGCAGGCAATTAACTTCGGCTCAACCGCCATGGCGCACAGCGTACGCCCCCACCACACCCCGCCCCGCCCCGCCCCGCCACCGCCGCGCCCGCAGGTACATGTGCCATCCACACCTGCCGTGCACGAGACAGGATGTGAGTCCAACAGCAGCGTCCCGTTGGGCGCGGCGCTCACTTTAAATTCGCGCGCCAACGCCGCGGTGCGTCCTTTCTGTTTGTGTGGATTTAGACAAAGGTGAAGGATTTCGGGCGTGTTCGCTGTTGTAGACTGACAGAGCGAGGAGAGGGAATAGTTGTGGGATTGAGCACGGATGTCAGTGACAAGGTCAATCGATCGCGTCAAAAAATGTGGCGGTACGCGCATAACCCTATGGATTTTCAAGCCACGTGCACCGCTGCCAGAAGACCAGTGGAGGCGGACAAAACTCTAGACGCGTTTTGAACTCCAGAGTCGCTAAACAGGCCTCGAACCGAACGTGACCCCACCAATGGATTGCTCGTTCGGAGAGCAATCCAATGGTGGGGTCACACGTTCTGTTCCAGCCCCATTTAGCGACTCTGCAGCTCAAAACGCGTCTTGAGTTTTGGCTGACCGTCCACTGCGCGCCGAGCGCCTGCTTAGCGCCTGTCAACGGGAGGGTAGGCAAGCCCGCCACACACCGGTGCGCTACGGGCCGCCCGGGCGCGCGCCGCCCGACGGGGCGACGGTAGGCAAGCCCGCTGCGCACCGACGTCTGACGGGCGAGTGTCCCAGTTATTGCCATTGGCTCGCCATTGGCAGCTGGACCACAAATAATCGCATGCCTTTCGGCGCTTTTCGGCCCCAACTTCCACGGGTGGCCGCGGGCAGAAGAGCGCCCGATTCGACTGCGGAATATATGTAGGATGACCTGGCGATGCCTGGCGAACGTCAGTTCCTCATTCCAAAACCATTTCCGCGAGGAACGGAAGCGAATACGCGCGCGAGTGACGTGGGTTAGAGAGAGAAGATGGATGGAGCGCCCGACCCGGGCGCACTTTTTTTGAAAAAAATAAACAAGGAGAAGCGGATACCGGGTGGAATGCGAGCAAGAAAACAGGACCAATCGGGGTGAGATTGGAGTTGAGGCGGACTCTCTCTGTCTCTCTCTGTCTCTCTCTGTCTCTCCTTCTCGCGCTCGGGACTCGGACGGCCGGACGGGTATGGAAACGAGGGTCGGGCACGGAAGGCTAACCTATGTGCATTTTTTAGGATTTGGCATTCATACTGCCGCTGAATGGAGGAGCAGAGAGAGAGATGGCGAGGGAGAGGGAAGGAGAGAGAGGCCCCTACTTAACACGCAACAGGTGCGGGCAGTTCCCCATTCGGTCGCACACACGTCCAGGTGGAAGTGTGACGGGCTGACGGGGTCGCCTCCACTGCGAGGGGGATGGGGGAGGGGGAACCAAGGGCCAACTCGGGGCCAATCGACTTGACTTGGACGTGGGGTCGCGCGGCCGCCACACACGTCGCTCGCAGTCACAGTCACAGTGCCACACAGTGCTCGACACGGGCTGGGCCGCCTGATGGAGAACCACGTTGACGTGCCAGCAAATGGCAATTCCCAGTGGCGTGGCCGCCGTGGCGGTTTCTGTTGTGGGCCTCACAGTGGGCCAGAAGACGGGTGGAGGCGGCCAAAACTCTCGACGCGGCGTTTTGAGCTCCAGAGTCGCTAAACAGGACTCGAACCGAACGTGTGACATTATCAATGGATTGCTTCTCCGAACAAGGAGTCCATTGGTGGGGTCACACGTTCGGTTCGAGACCTGCTTAGCGACTCTGGAGCTCAAAACGCGTCTAGAGTTTTGTCCACCTCCACCGGTCTCCTGAACTGGGCCGCCCCACCCCGGCCGTCCCGCCCCAGCTCCAGCGCCAAATGGTGTGATATCAATATCATCGGATGGGAAGGGCGAACTCTGGGACGCAGCCATTTGCCGGCTGCCTCTCACTCTCCACTCACATCGGCTGTGTTGTCCGAGAACTTAGAGGTGAAGGGGGCCATCAGTGGGATCCGGGGATCGACTCCAAACTTTTCAAATCTTTTCTGTGTCCGAGGCACAGCCGCCGACACAATCTCTTCCCCCTGCTTGTCGCTGGGAATGAATGGGAAGGCTCGCGCTCGGCCGAGGGCCGCGGTGGAGAATGCCAGGGCACGTAGCGCACCTCGCGCACCTCGCGCACCTCGCGCAACGCCAAGGCCGCGCCGGCCAAGACTGCCTTTCTGCTACCTGTGTGCTGGACGCTGGACATTACAGCCCCCTCCCTGGGGGGCAGCCCCCTTGTCCGCCCATTCCTCCCCGAGAGAAAACTCAATATCATAGCCGGGAAAATGCGGTTACGAATGTCTCGCAGCGTTGCATCAGCGACGAGAGAAAACTCGGTTTGGTTTTGTTCTCCTCCCCGCCGCCCTTCCTCGCCCTGCCTCGCCCTGCCGCTTCTCGGATGACCGCGTTCGCGTCCTGGGCCGCAGCGGTCCCAGCCCCGCCCCGCCCACCGCGGTCCGGCGTCAGTGAGAGAAAACGCAATGAGGAAGTGCGGGCTGAGGCGAGGTACGTCCTTGCGTAACCCGAAGGGCCGGCCACGCCGTCTTGCATAACGGCAGCCCTTCGGACGAACCCTTCGGACGCACCCTTTGGCCGAACCCTTTGGCCGAACCCTTTGGCGGAACCCTTCGGTGAACCCTTTGGCGGAACACTTTGGCTGAACCCTTTGGCGGAACCCTTCGGTGAACCCTTCGGACGAACCCTTTGGGCCGAACCCTTTGGCCGAACCCTTTGGCCGAACCCTTTGGCGGAACCCTTCGGCTGAACCCTTTGGCGGAACCCTTCGGTGAACCCTTTGGCGGAACCCTTTGGCTGAACCCTTTGGCGGAACCCTTCGGTGAACCCTTCGGACGAACCCTTTGGGCCGAACCCTTGGGCCGCACCCTTGGATCCAACCCTTTGGCTGAACCTTTTGGCGGAACCCTTTGGCCGAACCCCTTAGCGTCGTCGTCGTCTTCACGCCCACGCCCTGGCCGCTCTTCGGCCCTTCGGCCCTTCGCGTCGTCCCCGACCCGAATCGAAGCTTAAGCTCTATTTGCAGGATGAGGCCCGTTGGGCCGCGGCCACCTGTGCACCGCCTTGCCCCGCCCTGCCCGTGATGGTCCGAGTGGCCATGGCGGACGGGGGAGGGAAGGGTGATGGTGGAACCAGGGTGGAACCAGGGTGGAACCGGGAACTCAGGCGGCTACAATTTCCCGGTCCTCGCTTTTCCCGGCAACGGCAGCAGCATGCAGCCGCCTGATTCCGCAGGGTCGCCGCGTCGTTCTGTCTCTCTCGCACTCATGGGGCGTTTCGTAGGCGTGCGAGAGAGACAGAGCGACGAAACGACCCTTCGGAACTGCGGCGGTACCGTGCTGCGTGCGCACCGAGGGCCGAGGGACGCAAAGGGCTGCTTGTTAGTGTATGTGCCATCCTGCCAGGCACCGGCAGTGCCCGGGCACAGTGTCCTTTCCCTGTCCCGCCGTGCCGCGGCCTCTGGCGGCCACAGCCGCATCCGGCGCGCACCATCAGGGACTCCGGTGCTCGGATGACCGCCGCCGACAGGTCCTGCTTGGCCTCGCCGCGCACAGGCGTCCCTCAAAGGAAGACGAAGGCTCCTCGGCCGTGCGCGTGGAATCCGCGCCGACACCAGTGGCTGCCAGTGGCGTTTCCCAGAGAGAGCGCTGGAAATTGTTCCGGTTGATATTTACGAACGGCGCCCGGCTCGGTTTCGTCTCGTTTCGGCCCGAGCGGGGCGAGGGAGTATGAGCAAGTCCTGCAGTGAGTCCCCACTGACCTCACAAACCCAATCTCGCCTTATTTATCGCCTGCTTCTCTCCCTGCGTCCCTCGCCCCGTCTCGCCCTGTCTGCGGGAGTCCGCCGCGCCAGCCGCGCCCTGGAAGGATGAAGGAGCAGAGCGAGCGGCCTCCTCAGCCACGACAAAGACGGGGGGGGGGGGAGGGGGGGGCTTTGCAGGGAATCAATTAGATGACCCGCCTGAATGGAATTACCCGCCGTGGCGGTGTAGTGGAGGATATGGGTAAGGATAAGGATTGCGTCGGCGCAGCAGCTTCATTCTCTCTCTCTCTCTCTCTCGCACCCAGGCGAGTCCATTCGCCTTCTTCCTTCCCTCGGTGTGAAGCAGAGTGAATTACTCGTCCTTTGGCGTTTGATAGGGGAGTGGGTGCAAGGCCTGACCGAGACTACGCCAAGGCGGCTGGGTCTGGGTCCTGCCATGCTGCCCCTGCCGCCGCGTCGCTTGCAGCCGGGATAGAGGCGTGGCAATACTCCGTGCGGAAGCACTCCTCGGGCGCGGAGTAGCGGCGCGACAGAGTAAGGTCGTGCCGAGTTCGGGATGAAATCTTACTCACTGTGCCAGAGAGGATCCCCAGCAATGTTTGAGGCACAAATGAATGTGTTTAATTGAGTTTAATGAGAATAAGAATAATGAAATATCTGCCCCAAATTTGCAAGCACAAAGATCTAGCAGCGTTCAGTAGTATGTGTCTTCAGGAGAGCATCTTTCTGACTACTTTTTGGAGACTTGACATTGGAATGTGGCTCGTGTGAAGAGGCACCTTTGGTACTTCATTTTTAAAAGATTGAATGAGCCTTAACTTTGTAAAATGCATTTCCCATGTTTGTGGACGGGGTAAGGGGCAGTCAGGAAAAACGCAATCATACAGGGCAATGAATATCAGTGCATTTCCATTCGGTTTATAACAGTCAACATACAACGAAAAAAATTCTAAAATAAATAACCAGCCATCCTATGGAAATACTATTCAAAATATTGCATGGACATTCAGTACATTTTAATTTAAAGAGTACAGTGGCAATTAAAAAATCCAAAAAGATAGAAAAGGTTTAAAATTAGTTGCAAGTTTATTTGAAGATCTTGCCCTGGTTGAATTTACGGCCTCCCTTATCAGTACCAACCCAGGAGAGGTACTGTTCTACCAACTTCTTGGTGTCAGCAGCAGCAGGGTCGAGTTTCTTCCATTCGTACGATTCATAATCGATCTGCCAGTCAGGACACAGCTGTAACAGAGGTTGAACATTGTTAAAATCTACTTGAATCACACAAGAGGTGGTCATGAAGCTTTCCATGGCTGGACAGAAAATGATTAAAAAAGAAATGCCATTATTAAGTAGCAAATCAAACACTTACAGTGAAGGCAAGATCTTGACCTCTCCAGACCCAGATGCCGGAGATTGTGCTGTTGTTGTCTTCACCGAACAGACATACTGAAGCAAAGGCCTGCTTCCTCATCTTATCCAGACGCTGGTACATACCTAAATAAAAACCAAGCTGTCAGTAAACCAAGCAGACAAAAAACAAAGTAACAAACTTAAGTTCATCAACTTACCAGTAATAAGATTACAGCTCATAAAGACTTTAGCGAGCTCGTTAGGGTATTTGTATTCAGCATACCAGATAGAATAGTTCTCAGGGTCAAACTTTTCCCAGAAATATTTAACAGACTTTGACTCCTCTTCATTTGAGTAAAACCGCTTGAAGTCATCCATGTTAAAGGTACTGCAACAAGAGGAATAAAAATTAGCAAATATAGTAAAAAAAAATGGTAAAGGAAAACAGAGCACAAAAATCAGTAAACACAAAATTTTGAAATGTACAATGAAGGCTTTGTGTGGAGTGTGTACAATGTAACTTTTTAAAAAATTGAGCCTACAGAGGGTGCAATTAAGTTCCAAACTTTCAGGAAATTTTAATATTCTTAATCCCAGCAAATAACCCTCACAACTGGGGTAGGAATGGAAAAACTATGGAGATGGCTCAGTGGCTTGAGCCAAGGACAGATAGGCAACAAACATTTAAATGTGAGTTCTCTTTAGTTCCAGCTGCACATTAGTAACAGCCGGGGTGGAGATGAACACATGATGGTCTTCTCCCAATTTCTTACGCAAATAGTCAAAGGGTCTATTTGCGGCTCTTTTGGGAGTGTTTGACTAAATTACACACTTGCAATACACCATCAACCGCTCTTTGGGGAAAGCTTTAGAAAACTTCAGAATTACAGTATGTTGTATATCACTCTTATGGGGATTTGAATGTATGTAAACTAAGTCCCACCCCAATGTTCAAGACAGTCGGGCTGGATCTGATTTACTTAAAATCCTCTCCTCCTGTTTTCTTCCGCTAATAGTCAAACAAACTATTTGCGGCTCTAGAAGGAGTGTTACTCAGATAAACACTTGGAAGAGATTATCAGCAATCCTCATTTGAATGTAGGTTCTCTTTAGTTCCAGCTTGACATTAGTGACAGCCAGGGTGGAGATGAACCCACGGTAGTCTTCTCCCAATTTCTTACGCAAATAATCAAAACGTCTATTTGCGGCTCTTTTGAGAGTGCTTGACTCAATCACACAATTGCAATCAATATACCATCAACCGCTCTTTCAAACAATTCTAATTTGAATGTATGTAAACTAAGTCCCACCCCGATGTTCAAGACAGTCGGGCTGGATCTGATTTACTTAAAATCCTCTCCTCCCGTTTTCTTCCGCTAATAGTCTAACAAACTATTTGCAGCTCTAGAAGGAGTTTTACTCAAATAAACACTTGCAAGAGATTAACTCATTTAAATGTAGGTTCTCTTTAGTTCCAGCTTGACATTAGTGACAGCCGGGGTGGAGATGAACCCACGGTAGTCTTCTCCCATTTTTTGCCACAAATTGTCATAGAAACTACCTGCAGCTCAACAGGGAGTTCTACACAGAATTTCACAATCCCAGGATAACGTCAACCACTCTTGAAAACAATTCTGATTTGAATGTAGGTAAACCAAGTGCCACCCTGACTTTTATGACAGTCAGGCTGGATCCGGATAACCCAAACTCCTCTCCTCCTGTTTTCTTCCGCAAATGGTCAAACTAACTAGTTGCGGCTCTAGAAGGAGTGTGATACTCAGATGGACACTTGCAAGAAACTAGCAACTCTTATTCAGATGTAGGTTCTCTTAAGATACAGCTTGGCATAAGAGACAACTGGGGTGGAGATTAACCAGTGATGGATTTGTTTCATTTTTGACATAACTACCTGCGGCTCAGAGAGAGCTACACTAACTCCATTCTTTACACAAAAGCCAAAATGCTGCCTTCACTTGTGGGATTAACAGCTGTAGGTGTGATTTGACCCAACCTAACATTTCACATCAGGCACCTAAGATGAATAGATAGCAACAGGTTGAAGAGATAAAAATATACATACCCTTTAGGCATGGAATCGAAAGGGTCCTTGCTCTTGGGCTCTTCAAGGAGGGCAGCGTCACAGGCGTCCAACTCCTCAGGCTCTTCCTTCTTGGGAGCTTCCTTCTTCTCAGCCTTCTTAGGGGCTTCCTTCTTTGTTTCTTTCTTGGCATCTTTCTTGGCAGCACCACCCTGAGCTCCTGTAATATAAGAATAATTTAACCTGTAGTACTAGATAAGAATTAAATAGACTTAGAAATGAAATGAGAAACTAACCCTGGAACTCAGCAAACTTCTTGGCGTCAAACTCAGCGGCCTTAACACACAGTTTGAAGTCGCCAATAACAGATTTAACCTGAGGCTGATTGACAATGGTAGTGAACCACCTGTTCACATTCTGGTAAGGCTGCCTGCAGATAGATAAATGATATTAGAAAATTTCATTGAAACTATAGTTGCAGCATGCCAAATCAAATCCAGATTCCTCACCTGAAGGAAGGCTCCAGCACATACTGATAAAGGTGGAGAAGGTTGCAGGCAACAGCAATATCGGCAAGGGTAATTCGTTCACCAACTAGGTAGGTACGAGTAAGGAGGTGCTGGTTGAGCGCGTTGAGGGCAACTTTCACATCTTCCTTGGCACGATCTGTGTTCTGAAGCAAGTCAAAAAAATAAACTTGTAACAGACAAACACTACATAAGAATGTAGGTGAATTTGAGCAAATACTTACAACTTTGTTATACTGCATAATCCCTAAGCAAGGGAAAACCCAGGTGCACGATGATGGAAGAATTTCACTGTCGGCAAAAGACAGCCATTGGACAACCTGGGCCTTCTCAGCATCAGTGTTGCCACGAAGCTGCTGGTTGGCAACTGGTTGCAACGAAATGCAGTGTGTTAGAAGGTATGTCAAATTTAATCAAAAAAAGAAAATAAAGGATCAAAACCGATCAAAATCAACAATACTAAGGATGAAGTAACTGACTCACCATAGTAAGCAATAGCATTGCTTTCTGTGATGTATTTGCCATCATCAGTCTCAAAGGCGGGTACCTGAAAGATGCAAACATAAAGTTACATAACAGAGTACCTCTCTTGCATTCATCACTGACCTATCAACACACAACTTCCATCAAGTCTAACCCACAGGAAAACCAGCCTGAACAAAATGGCACCTAAAACCAATCGCCCAAAGAATGACCGCAAGACACCGCCGCTCTTCACCAGCTGTGTCAAACGGTCGGGCAGCGGTTGCAGTGATGATTTGGCAGCGGTATACCAGAGGGGAACATAACCTCTACGTCCTAACCAAGTCACTCAAACCAAATCACTCACTAGGAACGCCAGACGGACTCTGGCAGCCTAACAGATTTGACGGGGCATGCACAGAAGACTCTGCACTATTCAAATAAATTGCCCTCTCCAGTAACATATTGCATCATGGAACATTGACGTGTCCAGAAGTCAAGCGAATCGGGGCACCAAACGCAAGTAAACATGAGTCCAATCGGGAATAACCAGTCAGTCATACGCAACGACACTTAAATACATGGCGTAGAATGAGATTTGAGAAGAGTTACACGCCATTAACCTAAATAATGCGCAACTGACCGGCTCAAAGACGGCACCGGGAGGTCACGAACTTGGCCCGTACGACCGTACAGAGGGCTTGATGTACACATACGAAGCAACGTACAATATACTCGTTACTCACCTTGCCGAGAGGAAACTTCTTGAGGAAAGCTTCGGAACGGTTGGTCTCTCCAAACACGAAGTTCGGAGCGACTTTCACGTTGGTTCCCGCATACTGAGCGGCGATGAGCGCCTTAAACGCGCGGAAGTTCTCGGGGTAAGTATACAAGGTCTGGAAAATAAGACATGTTTCGGGGACATTGAAGTTTGGCCAACGTATTGGCCACCAATTTCATTCAGCATAGCTCGGATGACATAAGAATATCTCCGATGAAAGTTCGTGAGCAAAATACTCACACCAGACGCCATTGCGAAGGACTCCAGAAAGGAAGTGACCTGACGTCTCTGTCCACTTGATGCTTCTGAAGACAAGTGACAAGCGGTTTCCGGGCGTTGATAGCAGAGATTCCCTCACCGCCTGCGAAATTGAAAGAACGAATACTCGTGATCTCCACAAGGGGCAGGTTTGTGAACTCAATATTAAAATGTATTAAGATTTATAAAAATTAATTTGAGGCGATGCCCTGATTAAGCAATCTAGAACATTCCATGTGCGCAACTCATCCCTGCCAGGGAGCAGGGAGCGGGAAAACTGTCAAGCTGGAAACTCACAGAACGAAAAAAGGACACTCGCATCATTTACAAATGCGAAAAAAGGGCATACTCTTCGGAATCAAAAAACGAAGAAATAGATTCATAGTTGTAGAAGCTACTGTTAAAACGATTTTATTGCCAATTAAGTTATATTGAGCTATAGTAGTTCATCTGCTTTTCGTTCGTGTGTTGGACCAACTGAAGCCATGGTACAATGGTAGCGATGCGCAGTGGGTCATCTGCGCAGCCGTGTTCCTTAGCTTTCTTTGGGCCATGCCCCGAGTACCGCTTCTTTGAAACTGGTGGGGAAAGTGTTTCTCCCTCCAGTACCGCACTCCAGCAGTCAAGTGAAAACAAATCCGTGCCTAACCTCCGACTGGCTTCTGTTAGATGTGAACACTATCGAGGGAATTCGACGCTTTTAAAGTTTAGCTGGTGTCAAGTAAACTAAAGCATATCTCGGACTCCTCTGAGCGACGAGCCTGAAATGCTTGTTTGGCATCTGGGGCACAAACTTCAGAACCATATGCAATGATTCGAGGCCTTGAGCTGCATCCCGTAAGATGGCTTTCGACATTTCTCTGCGTTGCTAGTAAGTGAAAGTCTGGCTGTGGCGCACTAATTGTCAGCCTTCCTCGTCGCACGCTCCACTGTTCCACGTTCACGTCTTGACATACAAATATGGGAATGACAATTTTTCTCAACCCCACCCCTGCAACATTGTTTCTGTCTGTATTTTTCTTCGCCATTGTGACTCATCTTTCCGCCCCTCCGCCCAGCTCTCCTGGGGGCGTGCCGCGGCCTGGAGCTGACGGCGCGCTTCTCCCAGAGCGGCATCCACGGCGAGGTGCGCTTCACGGCGGACGCCAACGGCACGGGGACGGGCACCCTCGTCAACACTTACCTGGAGGTCGTCGACGACCTTGAGGCCTCCGCCGAGACGCCCGACGTGTGGTCGTGGAGCATCCGCGAGTACCCCGTGGACTACTCCCTACTCGGAGGCCGATGTGAAGACGAGCAACTAGGCCGAAGGTACGGCTAGCTCGTCAGAGTCAATGCGAAGGCGACTTTGGAACTGGCCTCAACTGGAGGTTGTTGCAGTGTGGTGGAGCTGGACGCGGTGCTGGGCCGCCTGTCGCTGCCGGAGCTGGCGACGAGCGAGATCGTGGTGCCCGACGACGCCCCGGTGTCGCTGACGGGGCCCCGCGGCGTGTGGGGCCGCTCCCTACTGCTCGTCAACGAGGCCGACGGCCGGCGGGCCTGCGCCACCATCACGGTCTCGGGGCGCGCCGACGAGCGCGTGGCGGAGGCCCGCTTCAACCACGTCGCCATGTCCGGGTCGGTCTTCTTCCGCTGGGTGGGCAGCCACACCCGCGGCGTGGCGGACCCGTCCGACGCCGTCACCCACACCGACACCCTCATCCTGGCGGACCTGCGGCGCGCGCCGCCCGCCAACGCCACCAAGACGCGCGGCCCCGTCGTCGCCAACCATGAGTGGCGCATCTACGTCACCGACATCCTGGACTCCGAGTCGGGTAAGGCAGTCCGCCGGGTTTATCGGGGTGGAAGCGTACTGTCGCGTGACGTAAGTCTTTCTACTACTTTCGCAGACAAGTCCCGAGGCAACTGCAACTTCCTGCAGTTGGTGTTCAGCCCGGACGCGAGCACGGCGACGCTGGGCGACTTGACTGCCCGCCTGGGGACGGTGCCCGTGGCGCAGCACCCCGCCACCGCCAAGGCGGTCTTCCGCGACCCGGTGCTGGACAGGCTGCAGTTCGACCTGGCGGGCAACGGACGCAGCCTGTACCTCGTCCTGCTCGACATCCAGCACCCCGAGAGCTTCCTGGCGTGCGCCAGAATCCGCCTGGTGCCCCCCGTCACGACAGTGTAAGCCGAACGTGCCTGCTGAAACTACCGAGGCCCTTTGAACCTCGCGTTCATTCTCCTGGAAATGCCGCCAGGGCCAACTTGATGACGGCCGGGGTGCGAGGCCGGCTGTCGCTGTCGCAGCGGTCGCGGTTCGACCCCACCCTGGTGCGCTACGACGTGCGCTTCCCGGGGCCCGACGCCGCCGCCGTGCTGCGCGGCCTCCGCGTCCACGAACTGCCGCCGCCGCCCACCCCACTGGGCGCACGCGACACCCCGTGCAACCACACTGGCGCCACCTACGACCCGGAGGAGAGGGGCATGGCCGAGCCCCAACGAGGTAAACGCGCTCTGCGTCCTTGCATATCCACCAATGCCCCACAATGTACTCTCTCAAACTCGGTCGGGCGTCCTCAGGGTTCCGCGGGCAGGACAAGTACGCCGTGGGTGACCTGTCCAGCAAGCTGATCCCGCTGCTGCAGGACCTGCAGTCCGTGTCCTTCGACCTCCAGCTGCAGCTGTGGGACATGTTCCTGCCGCTGCAAGGCCCTCGCAGCGTGGTGCACCGCACCTTCGTCATCCTCAAGTACGTGATGGTCTTAGTCAGCAGCTGATGGCGGGCTCCGCAGCTCTCTATATTTATTTTCTTTGGAAACTCCAGGCCGAGCGGACCGGAGCGCTGGGTCCCTTGGACTTGCGCCCCGTTGGCGCGGTACGTGTCCGAGAACGGCTACAAGATGGCCGTCGTGACGGCGGAGGCCTCGTTCCGCTACCCCTTGGCCGGTCGGATCGTCTTCCGGCAGCCCAGGGACGACCCCAACGCCGACACCACGGTGAGCGAAGCGAAAGTCCGGAAGTCTGACTCGCGTCGCGAAGGCGTGCCTTGACGACGCCCTGCTTATCTTCCCCGCAGATCATCGTGGAGCCGCTGCTGCACTCCCACGGCCCCGCCAACAACACCCAGGACCACCGCTGGATGGTGCACGACCTGCCGCCGGGGAAGGACTACTTCAACTGGACGGCGCGCTGCGTCAGCGCCGGCCAGGTGTTCGACCCGTACTACGTGAGCACCTCCCCCTCATCCCTCGCGCTGCGTGCTCGCGCTGCACAGTGGGCCAGAAGACGGCCAAAATTCTGGACGCGTTTTGAGCTCCAGAGTCGCTAAACAGGACTAGAACCGAACGAGTGGCCCCATCAATGGGTTCCTCGTTCGGAGAGGAATCCATTGGTGGGGTCACATGTGCGATCTGAGACCCACTTAGCGACTGTGGAGCTGGTGGAGCACATCACGCGACCGTGATTTTGACCGCCTCCACCGGTCTTCTGGCCCATTGTGCGCTGCCCGCTCGCCTCACGACCTGCCTCTGTCGTTGCAGATCCTGCCGGTCAACAGCTCCACGACGGCGGCCACGGTGTGCAGCCCCGACGCGCCCGGCCTGTGCCGCGTGGGGGACTTGACGACGCGCCACGGCACGCTGCACGTAGCGGGGCGCAGGATGAACGCCGCGCCCCTGACGCGCCGCCTCTTCACCGACCGCCACCTGCCCCTCAGCGGCGCCGCCAGCGTCCTGGGCCGCTCGCTGGTCCTGTTCGAGGACGACGGGCCCAAGGCCAGGGGCGAGCGGATGGCCTGCAGCAAGTGGGTGCCTATTTATCATTTTCCGAAAAATAAATGCAAATTTTTATATGTATTCTTTGCGTATTGCAGGATTTCTGGCGTGTACAGGAGGAAGGGTGTGGTGAAGAATTGGTTCAGCAACGGCGGAAAAGCTACTGTGACCGGCAAGATGGAGATACTCCAGCAGTCGGACTACGACAGCACTGACCTGGAGGTCGGCCTGGAGGGCCTGGACGACGCCAACGCGTACGAAGTCCACGAGGTGATTGACCGGGCCGAGGTTGGGCTAGGATTTCTTGTCGGACCAGCGTTAATATTTGTTGAAATTTCCAGGCGCCAGTTCAAGAACAGCTGGAATTCCCTTGTGAAGACACGACGCTGGAGGGTGTTTGGGCTCCCCCTTCGTTCGAGCCGACCGTCGCTCCAGGCATCGGGACTCCAGACCAGCACCCCTTGGGGGACCTCGGCGCCAAGTTCGGCTACCTGGACAACCAGACGCACCTGAACGTCGCCTACAACGACACCACGTTGACGTTGTTCGGACCAAACGCCATTATTGGGCGCTCGGTCGTTATATCTCAAAAGGCAAAGAACAAGAGGTGGGCATTTGTTGTATTCTATGATCGGAGAGGTGGAACAAATGCTCCACTGGTTTGATTATTTTTTTAAATTCCCTTTTTCGAACAGGTGGGCCTGTGCTTCCATTGAGCGGGGCTATGCTCCTTCTGAAGCTCGGGAGTTGAGAGCAATTGCATCATTTCATCATCCTGCAGGATTTGCTTATGGATATATTAAAATGGTTGGTTTAATTCCAGTTTCTATTCCCTGTCATCAGGACAACTTTAGTTTATTTATGAAAATTTTGCATCATTGCAGACTCAACTGATTTATTCCGATAACAGTCAAAGTGATACTGTCATTGAGGTCAATTTACGACATCCGGGAAAACACGATCGAAATATTGTGAGTGTTAAAAAATTTACAATAGATGTGACATGCTACAGTTGATTTTTTTCACTTTTTGTCTCTGCATTTAATTTCAGACTCGAAACCATAATTGGGCTATTTATGTCAATCCTGTTGGAGTTGACGCAGCTGTTAAAGTTCTCAACACTAGGTGTACTGCTGCAGGGTATATTTGGAACCCCCATTTTACGCAGCTAGCTGATCCTAGAAATGTAAGGCAAAATCATTACAAAATAATTTTTTAAAACTTTGGATTTAAGTGGTAATCTACTTTGCACCTCGACAGGATGAATTGTATTCACAAGAGTGTAGCCCAGAAACTCCCCTGCGATGCTACACAGGAGACATTTCAGGTCGATTGGGGCCTATAGACCTTGGAGTGTCTCGGAAGGTATTTACTGACTCAAGTTTCCCTCTGGGTAAGTGTCTTTGTTTCCTTTTTTTAAAATAAGAAAATTAATACAATTTTATTATACTATCCTCTTTTTATTTTTAGAGGGCAAAGTATCTGCTATGGGTCGCTCAATAGTTGTTTTAAACAAGGACTTTGGCTCAGAACGATTTGCATGTGCCAATATAGAACCAGACAATGATATAATCAAATATGCAAACATACGCAAACCACCACGGTTTGTGGTGTAAGTATTTTCAATTTAAAAAATTTCTGTTTTATTCGCACAGATCTTCAACTATGGCTTGGGTGAAAATATTTTTGTTCATTATGTGTTGCTTCTTTTGCAGTTCTCAGTTCATTGAGGATGTGCGAGAGGTCATGGGGGTTCCTGAATGGATGCTTACAGTTGACAGTCGAAAGACCAAAACTTTATACAATGGCAACTGTATACAATTCCTGCTCCATTTCAAAGGTATATAGTAAAACACACCTTTTTAACTAAAATATTTTCTTCATCACTAGTGTAATATGAGATTCAACAATAATCAAGAACATTCGTACAGTAATACTGATATCAACAAATAACAAGCTTCCAAAAACAATAACTGTCATAAAAAAAATTTACAGGTCCTATTGCTCATCAAATAGAACAAGATTTTAGTCGGCTATTAAACACAGGAAAATTATCTAGTCCGACTCTGTACATTCCGGGCTACACAGTTACTACAAAGAGAAAGTCCTCTTTACCGTACAAAGTTTGCGGAACAACAGACCCAGCTGAAACTATGAAAAAATCCTCAGAGGGTACGTATTGCTTTGAATTATCGTACATCAGTAAAATTCAACTTTTAATCCCTGTCTTTTTTCGCAGGTGGGATTCTCATAAGCCTTCTGTCAATCCGAAAATCATCCTCGGCCCCAAACACTGGGTTTCACTTCTTCCAGATCCTTCTTGTATTTGTTCCTTTGTGGCTCAGCAGATAAAGCTGCTTGGGTTCACAATCCTATAGTAGTACATCGAAATGCTGACTGCAATCATCTACCGGTATTGCGATTTATTTTTTTAAAAAAATGCAGTCAACATACTGTGATCTGTGTTTTACATTGTAACTATTGTGAGGCTGTGATATTTTGACTTGATCGTTTTCATAATACTGCTCACAACTGATTATGCTGGCATAACCAGGTATGTACTTATTTTATGTTTACTTTACTCTGTGGTTCTGAGAATGAGTTTCTTCTGAATTCAGCTATTCTTTCAGCTGACTGTACTGAAAACAATAATACTTATTAGTAAAGTCTTTCTAGCTTGGATATTTAACTGGCACTCTTTTTTTACGTGATAGTTTGTAATATTTATTATTGTAATAAAGTGTCCAATTTCATGTAAAGATGTACTGTTACAGCTTCTTAAACCCCCATCCTTCCAGCAAAAAAACAAAACAGAATTTAGGAGACATAAATTAACTGATGGAAGGTGAACCACTCACACAGTCCGGACCGGATCACCCTGTGAGTGTCCTCTTTGCTTCATGTCTTACTTCACCTCGGGCCACAAAGAAGCTACATCTTGCGTGTAGGTTCCCGTGCCCAGACCTGAGTTAAAACTTGACGGAGAGTCGCGTTCACAAGTCCGATCCACGGCGCGGGGGAGGCCCGCACGGCCTCACTGGTACACTGTCTTGAGCAGCGGCTTGGAGCGCGCGTGCACGGGCTTGAAGGAGTGCTGGTACACGGAGGCCAGCCGCCAGTGCTCGGGGTAGGCGTGCCCGGTCTCCTTGGGCCACAGCGAGAAGGGCTGCGTGAGGCTGGTGATGGCGTAGTTCTTGCGCGCGAACGGCGCCCGCTGCTTCGGCACGCGCACCTCGCGCGCCGGCCCCACGGGCCCCACGCCCATGGAGGGCCCGCAGCCGCTGTGCAGGCTGGGCGGCGTGTCGAAGCTGCTGTTGGTGCTGAGGCTGGTGGTCGGCTTGCCCGCCTTGAAGGCCATCTTGTACTCGGACTTGGGGCGGCGTAGCGCGTTGGCCGGGGGCGACGGCGGCTTGTTGCAGGCGCCGCAGGCTCGCTGGTTGCCCTGGCCGTGTCCGCCGTGGCCGCCGTGGCCCTGCGGCTGGTGGCGGTGGTGGCTGGCGCTGCGCGCGTGCTGGCGGCGCTGCTGGTGCTCGCTGAGGTCCGGCATGCTCTGGTGGTGGTGGCGGTGCCTGCGCATCTCGGCGAGGTGGTCGTTGAGGTTGCGCGGGTCGTTGCGCGAAGTGCCGTCCCCGCAGCCCTGCATGCCCGCGATGCAGCCGTTGCGCTTGCGGAAGTCGCTCAGCTCGCCGGGCGGCGGCGGCGCGGGCACGACGCGGGCCTCGTTGTAGCGCCGCTGCACCGCGGACCGCTGCCGCTCCTGCGCGTGCAGGCGTTCGTGCAGCGCGTTGTCCGGAGCGCCGCCACGGCCCGGACCCTAAACAGGGACAAGAGGGTGGTTAGCCTGGTCACTACATGGCGCCCTGACCGAAACAGTAGCCAGCTAACCTTGTGGTTGGGCTGGCTGGCACCGCTGCCGCCGCTGCCGCCGCTGCCGCCGCTGCCGCTGTGCACGCTCTCGACGGACGGCGGCTTGGGCGGCGTCTTCCTCTCCCTGCCCACCGGCGGGGTGCTGGTGCCGCCGGGGCCGACCACGTAGCCTCGGGGGCTGGTGCGGTCGGGGCCGCGGTCCAGGCCGCTCCTGGACGACACCTTGACGTCGTCCTCGTTGTCGGCGGGGTGGTGCACCAGACTGAAGATGCCCGGCGCCGCGCTGCCGTTGCTGCCGTCGATGTGCGGCGTGGGCTTGGGCTCGTCCTCGGGGTACGCGGGCACCAGGTCCCAGCAGATGGCGAGCTCCATCTCGGACACGTGGTCCTTGGCCAGCAGCTTCATCGGGTGGCCCGTGCTAGGCCGCTGCAGCGCCCTCTCGCCCTGCTGGAAGTCGCAAAAAACATTTCAGTGTAGTGCCGCGGTTGAAGGTGCTTCGGTTACTTCAAACGGCGCCCCTTGTTTGCTCACCAGGCCGTTGTGCCTGGCGGACGCGGTGGGCGCCGCCGTCTTGGGCCTGTAGACCCTCATCTTGGAACAGTTGGTGGGGCCCGGGGCGTTGAAGGACCGCCAGCCGACGGCCGCCGCGTCGGGCTTCACGTCGAGCGCGATGCCCGGGTTGGGGTGCCGCTGCGAGTTGAGCTTCTTGAAGAGGTCGTCGTTGACGGTGTCCGGCAGCGGATTGTGCTCGAGGTTCTCCTTGTGGAGCTGCTTGGCTACCTGCGAGGGGCAGACGAAGACAGAGGGCCTGAGACTCGGGCGCCTGCGAATGGCCGGGTAGGCAACGCGGCGGACAGCGGAGCGCTGCGACGGCCTACCTGGGATATCATTACCACTACGGGCTAACAACGCCTGCACTTTGGGTCCGTTTTCGCGCCTACCTGGAAGCTCGAGTAGGCGTTGGCCAGCGCCGGCCCGGGGGTGGGCACGCGGTGCTGCGGCGACGCGGGGGGAGACTCGGGGTCCGCGTTCACCACGGCGAACTGGGCGCGCGCGTACGGCCGGGACGGCTGCGCGTTGCGGCGCGGGTGGCGGCCACACTTGAGCGCGGCGCCCTCCACGCGCGGAAGGGCGTCCTCCTGCTGTGGCCGCGGCGGCGGCGTCTCCCTGCGGTCCTCGGCGGGGGCGGCGAGGTCCGTTTCAGTCGTGAACATCTCCGGGTAGCCCTGCTCGCGCACCCGCTCCGGCTCCGGGTAGCTCTGGATGGTCGGGTCCCGAGCAGCGCGGCGGGAGAAGCCAGGGTCCACCTGCAACCGGAAGTGCGACCGGAAGTGACGTCATTTCTGGTCTCCAGGGTCCGGCCGCTACAGTGTGGCTGGCACTCACGCTGGGGTAGTCTGGGTTGCTGGGCTTGAGGAGTTCCCCGCTGTCGTCCTCGAACTGGGGGTACAGCGGGGTGGGCTTGGCGTTGGCTGGCTCCGGCGACTCCCCGAGGTGGCCGTCGTCAACGCTGCCCACGCCGCTGTCCTGCCCGTCGTCGCGGACCTGCGTCAAAAGATCGCGGGTTGCAAAAGTGTGCCTTTCAATAAGGAGCTTACTGTGACCCACTCCGGCCCTCACCGGATCGTCGCTGCCGCCCGTGCCGTCCCAGCTTGTCCGCGGCTCGGGAGCGTCGAGGTCCTTATCCGGCTGCTCCTCGTGGATGCCCTCGTCGCGGTCCTGCAGCTCCCCGCGGCCGCCGTCCTCCTTGGGCGCCCCCGGCCCCCAGCATGGCTCCGCGTCCCGCCTGGGCGAGCCCTTGGAGCGGCCCTTGGCGCTCTTGGGGCTCTTGTAGTGCTCCTTGGCCTCGAGCAGGCTGGCCGGGGTGTAGTCCACCTGGCGAGTCCTTGTGGCAGTCTCTCGGGCAGGCTTCAACACGAGCAGCAACGTTAGGGCAGTTCGCCCGCCACTCACGCACTCACACGCACACGCATTTTCAGAAACAAGAAACGGATTGAAAACAAGGAGGGAGGGATCCGGGTCTTTATTGTGTGGTGGAGGTCGCTTCCTGCTGAGGACGAGGACGGTCTGGGCGGCGCCTTCAGAACAAGCAGCTCTGTGGGAAGAGAACCGGGCGGTGTTGGTAGGACTAAGTGACACAGGGAAGTGGTGAAGGTGGTCACCACGCGAGGCGCACCGCAGAGGACCGCGTGGACAGGAGGCGGCCGGAGCTGCCGGCGTCGTCGGGCGCGGTGCGGCGCGGGTAGCGCTCCTTGACCCGCCTCTGCTCCATGAAGTCCCTGTCGCAGCCCTCGGGGGAGCGCGCCGTGCCGCTGCTCCAGTCGTGCGTGCGCTGTGCGGCAGAACAGGGGTGCTGGGGGTGCGGTGGGGTGGCGGTGGCGGTCGTGGTGGGGCGCGCGACGAGCGCAGCGTGCCCCTGACGAGCCGAGGGGCCGAGGGGCCGACGGGGCGGGCGCCCGGTTCATGTCAATGCATTTGCGTGCCACGACGTCGTCGCGCGTCGCTCAAGAAAATGTTTCCCCGGCCGCCCCTCCTCTCCCCCGCGCGAACCTGATCAGCGCCCCCGACGCGAAGCAAGAGGGAGGGGAGGGGGAGGGCCGTCGCGAGGGACCGCCACTATGCGCACGCGCGCGCTTGGGTAATTAAATTTGAACACACGGAGGTTAAAAAAAATTACAAGAAATTAAAATATAATGAGAAGATCAAGGATCCAAGAGATTCGACGAAGGTCAAAACTCTAGACGCGTTTTGAGCACCAGAGTCGCCTTGTGGGACTCGAACCGAACGTGTGACCCTACCAATGGATTGCTCTCCGAATGAGGAATCCATTGGTGGGGTCACACGTTCGGTTCGAGTCCCATTTAGCGACCCTGGAGCTCAAAACGCGTCTAGAGTTTTGGCCGCCACCACCGGTCTTCTGGCCCACTGTGCGGCACCCACCGGCACGATGTTGTGCAGCTCGCGGTGCTCCAGCAGCCAGTTGACGTCGCGCTCGGCGTCCTCGCGCCGCAGCTGCTCCTGGTGCTGGCGCAGCGAGGCCGTCAGCTCCTTGACCTGCTCCACGCGCTCCTTGACGGCCTGCTGGCGGCGCCTGCGCTCCTTCAGGAACTCGACGGCCACCACGTCCTGCTCGTCGATGCGGTCGCCGTGGTCCACGTAGTCCTGGGTCCGACATGCGCGTTAGATATTTCGAAAACATTGAAAATGAGATGCGACTGGTGGTGTGGGATTGGTTGTACCCGTTTGTTGAGGAAGTAGTTGCGGTGCTGCGGGTAGCCGGGCCCCTCGGCGACGAGCGAGAACCCCGGGCTGCCCTGGAGCTCCTTGGCGGTGCAGGGCACGGGACGGAGGCGCGTGTTCGGCTTGTCCCAGTAGCGGAGGCGGTTAGGTGGCCGAGAGGACAGCTCGTTCGCTGCGAGGAACCGAATCAGAATCAGACGAGCCCGCGACACACTCGAATCACTTTCGCCGTACCTATGGCCCTGGTGATGCGCGGCGGCTGGTCGTGCGTGCCGATGTAGTTGTTCCAGGGGTTGCGGTTGGCGCGCGGCGCGCCCGGCAGGAAGCGGCCCCGGTCGTCGACGATGGGCTCGGTCGGCTTGAAGTTGAACGGGTCGCGCGCCTTGCGCTCCGGGAACCACTTGGCCACCTCCCAGTTGCCGAGGCGCCTGGGCAGGAACTCCTGGTTGTACTGCAACAAGCAATGTCCAAAGTAGCGGCGCACAGTGGGTGTGGAGACCAGTGGAGACGGCCAAAATTCTAGACGCGTTTTGAGCTCCAGAGTCGCTACATGGGACTCGAACCGAATGTGTGACCCCTCCATTGGATTTCTCTCCGAACAAGGAATCCATTGGTGGGGTCACACGCTCGGTTCGAGTCCCATTTAGCGATTCCCGAGCTCGAAACGCGACTAGATCTATGGCCGCCTGTGCGGTGCGGCGCGGGTTCAAACCTGACAACTTTTTATTTTTCTATTGATTTTTTTTTGTTTTGAAACTTTGCAGGCTTTTGTCGCACGACGAACAAGTGCAGCCCTACCCCTCCGAGGATGACCCCAGGGGGAGAGGATGCGTGTTCCGCCCAATTACTCATAGTGACACCACGGCTCCACCGGCTGGGGTGGGGTGGGGAGCTCCCGGCAGCGGGTCCAGCAGGCTCGCTATAATAGGCGGATTACAATGTTAACGACACCTTCCCCCGCGCGGCTCGCAGACTCGCCCTGCCCAAATTGAAATCGACTGACTTGACTGCTTCAAGTACACGGCAAAGAGTTCGCGCGAGGGGAGGCTGCAGCCCCAGCACCCAGCCGGGGTGAAACGACAAACCTCCAGACACGAGCAGTGGAACAACTCGGTCTGAAGCGCCGCCCAAACAAATCCGCTCGGGTTTAGCGTAATGGCGCCGGGGGTTTAAAACTGTTATCCCCGCCACTTGGGCTGACGCCCACTGCCGCCACACGCTGGCATATGGCGGCGCACCGGCCGCGGCCTCCCGGATTTAAAACCTCGCGACTCTGCAGCGCGTTCAAACAAACGCTGGTAATACAGTGTGCGCGCAGCGAAGCGGGACGACCAAGACAAACCTCCGAAAAATATTTCCACCAAATGATCGCAAGGCGCGTTGGCGTTCATGCAGGTCGCTGCTGTTGTGTCCAGCGGCGGATCGACAGCTGTCTCCCTCGCTCGTCGAAAGCAATCGATTTTCAAGTTCGACAACGTTGATGAATGGCTGTCGCCGCTGTCGCGATTCCGCCCCGACACGCTGTCCCGAAGCAGCAAGGGGTAAGGCACCGCGGCGTCATCTGCCGGGGATCTTCCGCGGCGTTCTGCCGGTTCCGCAGGCACCGGGAGCACCAGGAGGGAAGGGAGTGACAATGCCTCGCATGCTAATCGGCGACATCGTCGCTCTGTCTCCCTCGCACCTAAAGGGGACGCCCCATGAGTGCGAGAGAGACAGAGCGACGAAAACGACTCTCGGAATCAGTCTGCTGCCCACGTCGCCGTCATCCACCAGATGGCGGTCAGAGCGCGCCCGCTGTGACTTCCGCACTTTTTTTCATGATTGATGAAGTGGCGTTTTATTTCGCGAGCCGCGGTCGGAGCGGCTCGGCCGCGACACGGGGCAAATAAAGGCCGTGTTCACCTTCCCGGTTACGAGGTCGCGCGGTTAAAGGCTAGAGGACGAGTCCCTTGATCGCGTGCATGCACTGTGAGCAGCCAGCACACTGGGTCATGAAGGCCATGAAGGGCGCGCCGCGTGCGTCCGGGGACAAATTCCTCGAGTCATGAGCGGAGCAGCACAGCGAGCATGCCGACGGCTATTCCCGGCCCCTCATCACCATCCTTCACATCGGCCTGCTCGGCTTGCTCGTCGTGAAGGTCCCGAACGTCCTCTGCCTGGCTGTTGCCGGGCGCTCGAGTACCGCGCGGCCCGTGCTGGTGTTGGCGGTGTTGGGCATCCCCGGCACGGCCCGCCTCCGCCCGCCTCCGCCGAGCTGTTAGCTGTTGAATATGGCATCGCGTGAGATGCGCGCCGCGGCGGTGGCGGTCGTTAGAGAGGCAGGGTTTCTTTCTGCACCCGGCGGGTTTCCAACCAGCAACCCGCCCACACCGGGCCGCCCTGCGCGGGCTCACGGCCGCCAACTTCGCACGCCGCAGCCCGGAAAGCCTAAACGGAAGACCGCCGCCGCCGCCGGGGTTCGATCCCAGCCGGATCCGCCAAACCCGCGCGGGGCTCATGTCGCTGTGGCCTGTGGCTTCCCCCACCAGCAGGGTCAAGGTACATGGCGTGCCGTGGCGTGTCATGGGGATGGGGAGGGTCATGGGGTGCTCGGGAGCCATCGGGGCCGCTTCCTCCTGATCAAGGCCAATCAAATGAGCAGTGCGGCGGGGAGGGGGTGGGAACGGCGCGGCGCTCGGGTTCGGCAGCGCGGCAGCGCGGCCCCCGGGGACGAGGGGACGAATTAGCTCTCATCGCCTCCGAGGCTCCGAGGCTCCGAGGCTGACGACAGTCGCGGGGCGACGTCATCGGGGGACCCGGGACGAGGATCGAGGTTCCCACGACGCGGCGGGCGGGGCCAGGGCGGTGCGGGGCGGGGATTCCACGCGCTGATTGCGCGATGGGCGTATCCCATCCCCGGCGCCGCATTCATCATCGCGCTGGGAAAAGCAAGCAAAGAAGCCGAGCGCGAGGCGAAATTTCTCATCAAGCCGAGCGGCGGGCGCGGCTTGCACTGCACGGGGTTAGGCGGCGGGGGCTGGTTACTACCGCATCGTTTTACTGCAGTCTTCCACGCGAATCAATTTGGCACACGTTGTGTGCTGTAGAGGCTGCCCGCCGCGCCGCGCCGTGCCGAGCCGGGCCTCGAGTTCGCGTGACAAAAAGTTCCGGCGGGGCGGTCGGGTCGCCGGGATCGCCTGGCCGGGTGGATAGCTGAGCAGTCGGCCCGAGTTCGCCCTCATTAGCACGCTGCTTCTGTCTCTCTCGCACTCACGGGGCGGCACGCAGGGGTGCGAGAGAGACGGAGCGGCGGAACGGTCCCTCGGAATCAGGCGGTTGGTTCTCATATTTCAGGGCGCGCCGCCGTCTTGTTCCGCGGTTTACGCGACAGCGACAACCTCCCGCCGACGTTCACTTTCTACGTAACACGCGGCGGGAAAATTGCCGCCGCGGCGCGTCGCGCTGCGCTGAAATATTAATTTCGAATTACGGCACTGTGCGGTTTGGACGAGGAATGCGCTGCTGACAGGCGTGCGCGTGCGGCCGCGGGCTGGCTCCGCGGTTCGCTCTGTCTCTCTCGCACCCTTGCGGACCCTTGCGGCACGCGTCGTGAGCGCGAGAGAGACAGAGCGACGAAAGAACTTTTCGGAATCAGCCCGCAGGCACGCGTCGCGGCTACGCCAGGCTACGCCAGGCGACGCCTCCGCAGTCAGGGGACCGCAGGGGACGCACGCGCGCCGCCCAGCGCGCCCAGCGTCGCCGCCGAAGCCGAAGTGGGCGGAGTAATTGTTGTTTGTAAACACGTGGCGAGGGGGAGGGGGAAGGGGGTTGCGTCATACAGCGTGATGACACGCTCACAAAGAGCGTGCGTCCCTTGCAAATCTTTTCGATACTTTGGGGTTAGTTTCGCCAAATACGGGGATCGAATGGCCCGCGCCGCGGTTATGGCTGACATCTGGGGGTTGGATTCCGCGACGACTGCCTGCGTCGCTCTGTCTCTCTCGCGCGCTCGTGGGGCGTCCCGCAGGCGCGCGAGAGAGACAGAGGCCGGAGCCGCGAAAGGGTTGCAGGGCTGCAGGCTCGCAGAGGAGGCATTGATTTGGCGATGTCGTTGCGTGCTTGTACCCGCCAGTTTGTTTGGGATGGCGCCCCGCCTCGCGCCTCCCGCTCGACAGAGCGACGCCGCGACGCCGCGATGCAGCGCGGCGTTGAGGTCTGCCTTCCCGAGGCTCTCCTACACCTCGGGGGCCGTCCCAAAGCGGCGCCTGCCTTTACAGTGCGCGAGAAAGACCGCTTTTCCAGGCTGATTGATGGCGGTTCGCGCCCTTGATTCGCCCGTCTCCTTGATGAGGCGCGCTGCGTTGCTCGCCCGGGTAAACAAAACCCCGAGGGGGCGGCACTAAATGCCGATCGAAGGGCGCCCGGGGGGTCAAAATCCACCCCCCGCCCGGGGCTCGCTATCGGAAATGCGTCCTGATACAATATGTGGTGGCAGGCTGCGCTAGGATGCGCGCCTCGCCGCGTTTCGGCCGTAAACACGCAAAAAAGAAAGAAGATTCTCGCTGAAGCTCCGCGAAGGGGAAGCAGAAGATATGACAGTGCTACCCCGCTGTCCGGGTGCTGAACACGCCGACCGATCAACCCCTTATAGTGTGGGTGCGACCCGCGCCTCGCGACTCGCGCCTAGTCTAGTCGGTGACAGGGCCTGCAGGCAGACGACATGCAAGTTGGATTCTTGCATTCGGAGCGATGCAGCCCCGACAGAACGGAAACTCCATTCGCTATTTGATCAGGCCGGGCCGGGCCGGGCCGGGCGCGCTGCTGCTTCCGAGCGATTCACCGTCTCTCTCGCACCCCTGTGGTACACGCCTCGGGTGCGACAGAGACAAAGCGACGAAACCGATTCTTCGGACTCCGTCTTCTCCGTCTTCTCCTTCTTACTTTCCGCAACACGGCACGCTACGCCGCAGCGATTCATTCCGTGTGTTTCGCTTCGGAACAGGAAATGCATTCCCTGTCACAATCGGAAAATGAGCGGCGGCGGCGAAGCGAAGGGGATGTTAGTTTTGACCCATAAAGAAGGAAGGACCTTTTTCTGTTCCTAAGTAGAGTGCGTTCTTGCGCTCAGCAGACTGATTCCGATCGTAATTTTCATAGGTCTGTCTCTCTAATCACTCATCGGTCGTCCAGCTGTAAAGGTGCGAGAGAGACAGAGCAGCGAAAACGAATCTCGACTCTCGGAATCGGACTACGCAGTCCCCGCTCATCGTCCTGACCGCTTTCTCGCTCGCGGGGGCGACGAAAGCATGTGCGGGAGGTCATCAGAAATGGCAACGACGACTTTATTATTCCTTTCGAAAAGCAAGCAACTTTTGTCTCGTCGCACTACACTGTCATGGTGTCCTACCTGGTGGCGTGAGCGCTACTCCCGACCCGGCGGCGTGCCCCGGCTTCCTCGCGGTCGCGGACGTGCTGCTGACCGAACGAGGTCCCGGCGAACGGTCCGCGAGTCCGCGTCGAGGGGCGCGCGTCGAGGAGGCCAAGGAGGGACTGGCGACGCGACGCCGCGGACGGGGCCCGGACGGGGGGGCGGTCCGCGACCGTCTGAGGGAGGCACGGGGTGCACGGGGTGCACGGGGCACGTGCAGCGCCCCGCGGCCCGCGGCCGCCGTGGAGGGGGCCGAGGGGGCGACGTGTAGCAATGCGAGCGGAGGGGGAGATGCGCACGCTGTCACGGGGCTGCCAGCACGGCGGAGCCCGGCGAAAGGAGCTCATTGTTATTTTTCGCTCGAGCGACGTGAAAGGTTGGAAAAGGGTGACCAGGAAATCAAATCTGAAAACGGCTGTCCTTTCTACCACTTCTTGCAAGCCGGTCTGCCAGTGTGGGTGCATTCGGGTGCGCGGAAAAAACAAAAACATCGGCCTGGGCGCGGGGACGGGACGCGGAGTCGAGTTAACCGTGGCGTTCACGTTGCGTTGGGAGCCGTTTGGGCATCGATTTATCAGGAGGCTCGCCACGCACCGAGCCGCGCCGCCGCGCCCTAGTGGGCCGCGCCCGCACCGCTCAGGGTGCATGCAGCGCCGAGGCAGTGCAGGCGGCGCCGAGGGTGGGCTGCGGGGGCTCCGGGCCGCAGCTGCGCGCCGACGGCCTGGGGGTGGGGAAGCCCGACGGCGGAGGACGCGGCGGAGGCCCTGCTGCACCACGCGGCCCGACGGTCTGGCCCGCCTGGTCGGGCCGAGGGTGGCGTCAGCGCCCGGCACCGCGGCACGTCAAGCGGTGGGCGGAAGGTATCGCCCTCCAGTCGCGCGGATTACGGAAACACTTGTCGGAAAATGGCTGAAAATGTCGTGGGTCTCGGTACCGTGCTTCGCTGCGCTGGCGTGCCGCTGTCAAAAACAATGGCCTCCTTGAAGCTCGTCGGCGGGGCGGCCCGCTCTGCTGCGACGGCCCATCAACGGGGTGGCAAATAATTTTCTGCAAGTTGGAGTACCCGCCTCGCGTGCCGAGTGCCCCCGCCGCGGGGTAACTACTTGGGTAACTTGATACTTCTTGTCGAGCCGTGACCGAAATAAACACCCTGCCGCCTGCAGACCTTCGCGTCGTCTAGCTATCTGCTGGAAGCCCCGGGTTCAAACGCTGGCCGGGAAGCCTTTTCGCTTGCAAGTACTCACCTGGCCGGCGTTGTAGAGGCGCGACATGGTGGAGGCCGCTCCCCAACTTCAGCAGGACGGCGTCGACTGCCTGGTCTTGACTCCCTCCCCCTCACTTTTCCAGAACGAGGGCTCAATTTCCGTTCCACTTTTCCATGTTTTCTGCCCCGGTCAGCTCATGTCGGTGGAGCTACCCGTCCAACGCACCGGCTCCAGGACCACCGCCCTCGAGGTTGTTGCCAAACATACTACACCAGCAGGCGGCCGGCAGGCCCAGCAGGCCCAGCAGGCCCCACAGGGGTAGACCGGGGGCGGCGGGGGGCGGGGCCGGCCGCGTGCGGGGGCGGCACGGCGGCACGGATACTAACAGCGACACCCCGTTGTCATGGCGACGTGGACGCGCCGGGGCCCGCGGCCGGGCCAGCCATGGGCACCCACGAGCACCCGTCGGCTTGACGGGCCGCCGGCTCATGTCTGCGGCAACAAGTACGTGCAGGTGCCACGGGGCCCAATCAATGACGGAGATACCCCGCGCGCAGGGGGCAGAGCGCAGAGCGCGGCGTGGAGTACCGACACTGTCACGCGGTGCATGCGGCTTCTTGCGCGGTCACCCCGTCTCCAAGTAGTCGCTGCAGTCGGACGAGTCCCACCAGGCTCGACCCCTTCTTCGTGGTGTACGGCCTCAGTGGGCAGCCGCAGCGATGCAAATATTTGCCTGCCTGCAGCAACGGGGTGCGGCGGGGCCCCCGAGGAAGGGTTGCCTGCGCGCAGGGCCGCCGGGGCCTCCCCGCCAGCCGCCACCCCCAGGAGGGGACCGCGCCGCCGTTCCCAGCCGTGCTTGGCACCCGCGGCCGCGGGCACCGCAGGGCCGCACGCATCTAAACGGCGGCCGGTGGGACCGGTGGGGCTGGTGGGCCCCGCGGGGCACCTGGGGGGCACGCAGGCACTGACGGGGATGCCGGATGCGCCTTCGCGAAATGTGCAACGCGCGACAACCCCAATACCCATTCCAACTCCAAACCGGGGAGGTTCACGCGGTGACCCCCGCGGACGAGGACGAGGGTCATGACGGAGAGCAATGGGGCGTCGGGGCTGCGAGGCGTCGCGGCGGCGTGGGGAGGGCGGCGCGGCCACCATTGGCTGCCGCGCCGGAGGGGCGGGGCCTGGGATGCTGGAGGCTGGGCCGAACGGGGTGGCGGCGCGGCGGGGTTCGATTTGCACTGGGCGGCCGTCAAGTCTGCGTTGCGGGTTCATTTACCTCACAGCCTGCTGAAAAATCTACGGCAAGCCACGCCGCTTTGTCTCAACGGCAACAAGAGGCAAACCAAAGACAGTGGCTGCCTCGCTTCCATGAACAGTTTGTTCCAAAAACCTGGCGCAGCGAAGCAAACCCAAGACAGGCGGATCGCTTTCTGAAAGCTGACTACGAACTTCTGTACGGCACCTATGCTGCGAGCGGGTACGAGCCTGAGCCCGGCTCTGGCCTGGCTCGAGGGGTGGTTCGGGCGGAGAGGCGGTGCGGCGGTCCTGCAGCTACACCAGAAGGCCGAAGGGCGGGTCCACCAGCTCCACCTGCTGCCCAGCACCCCGCCCACCCCTCCGCACCCTCCCTCCGCGCCACCCCCTCCCCCTCCGCCTTCCCGCCGAGGACACTTGCAGCCTCCGCGCCGCTCGCGGGTGCAGTCCATTCTCGCGCCTCCTGGACCGAGCACCGCGTCGACCCGCGGACTCCGGCCTCCTTCTTGGAGCCCTTGACGTTCACCTCCCAGTTGTCAGCACCATCAGTCACCATTGACTACCAAGGCCAGGACTCGTCGGACTTCTCCGCGACGTCGACAGAAGCCTACGACCAGTACTTCCACCACCATGGGCCTCCCGACTTCGTGACGCCCAGCCTGCGTCGCGGCGAGCTTGGCCAGGACGGGGCCCTGCTGCAACTCCAGAGCGACTCGAGTGAGTACCTGCAGGTCAACTCGGTTTTTATCTTCGAAATTTGCGAAAACACGCGCGATGGGTCTCCGTGCGCAGGCGCGAACGAAGGGGTCGATACAAGCCGTGGTGCTTTTCGTATTTGAATTTACGAGACAAGTTCTTGACAGTAAATGCGTGTGTAGTTCTCCTGGATTCGCACAAATAGTATTTTTCCGCAATCGGTTGCTTTCCCCCCTGGAATAAACGGACGGCCGTTGGCGACGCACAGTGGGCCAGAAGACTGGCAGAGGCGATCGAAATCCCGGACAGGTTTTGAGCTGCCGAGTCGCTCAATAGGACTCGAACCGAACGTGTGACCCCCACCTATGGATTCGTCGTTCGAAGAGCTATCCATTGGTGGGATCACACGTTCGGTTCGAGTCATTTTTAGCGACTCTGGAGATGGAAACGCGTAGAGTTTCGGCACCTTGGCTGGTCGTCTGGCCCACTGTGCGACGTGTACGACGCCCGAGGCGTCGTTCGTTGTTCCTTCCTCACGGGACCAGATTGTCCGGATTGCTGCGGTGCAGCCAATACGAGTCAATCAGCGTTAACTGCGGCCCCGGGGGCGAGGGCCAGGGCCAGGGCCAGGACGGCCGGGGAGCCGCCAGGACAACCCTTTTCTCGGAACGCGCGAGAAGGGCTGCGGCCGCTTCGGGCGGCACCCTTGGATTATGCATGGAGGAGTCCCCATGGGCTGCATAAAGCCCGGTTTGCGGACGACGAGTGTGGTGCTGCTCCGTTCAAACGAATGCCCCTGACTCGGCCGGCCAGCGGCGCCGCGGCCACGGCATGGGATTCAGCTTTCCGTCGGCCTTCGCATGCCGTTGCCGATAGGCGAAAGATTAGCTAGGTTGGTAATCAACATCATCCAATGAAATGACAACCATACTTTCGGGGATTCAATCACTTTTGACCATTTTTGCGAGACCACTGCTCCCAAACTATCAGCGGTCAAAGCCTTCCCGAGGCGGGGCATAAAAGAGTAGTGTCTTCAGAATAGTAAGTTGACCGCAACTAAATTGGATGCGGTGACCGCTCAAAGTCAGCAAAAACGGCGATTTTCTGAAATTCATTCACTTTTTGACCATTTTTGCGAGACCACTGCTCCCAAACTATCAGCGGTCAAAGCCTTCCCGAGGCGGGGCATAAAAGAGTAGGGTCTTCAGAATAGTAAGGCGTCGAGGGAGGCCTTTGACCGCAACTAAATTGGATGCGGTGACCGCTCAAAGTCAGCAAAAACGGCGATTTTCTGAAATTCATTCACTTTTTGACCATTTTTGCGAGACCACTGCTCCCAAACTATCAGCGGTCAAAGCCTTCCCGAGGAGGGGCATAAAAGAGTAGGATCTTCAGAATAGTAAGGCGTCGAGGGAGGCCTTTGACCGCAACTAAATTTGACGCAGTGACCGCTCAAAGTCAGCAAAAACGGCGATTTTCTGAAATTCATTCACTTTTTGACCATTTTTGCGAGACCACTGCTCCCAAACTATCAGCGGTCAAAGCCTTCCCGAGGCGGGGCATGAAAGAGTAGGGTCTTCAGAATAGTAAGGCGTCGAGGGAGTCCTTTGACCGCAACTAAATTTGACGCAGTGGCTGCCCAAAGTCACCAATATTGAATTTCCGACACTTTAACAGCATTCCGAGGTCGGCGCTCAAATAATCCCCAATATTTCCCACTAATCAAAATAATAACCTCCTATAATCAGTGATAAATAATAAAATAATCAAAAGAAATTACATGTAATCATACTCTAAATATAATGAGTGTACATGAAAATCTTGAGTTGGTTACCCCTTGGTTTGGGCTGACTTTGGGTGGCCACTGCACTGTGCGCGTCCAAACGCTTGTCGTCATTCGCGCTCCCTAAGCGTGAGGACGGTCGTCTCTTTCATGCCCTGCCTCGGGCATGCGATTGCCAAAACCCGTTTGGGAGCAGTGGCGCCACAAAGTTGGTCAAAAAACGGGAGGCGTTTTAAAACTACTGAATCAAACTTTCCGGCATGTTGATTGGGGGAAACTGCTGCGCACGACAGTGGTCGAGACGCGGCGGGCCGGTGGGCCGCCCGACAAGGGAGAGGCGCGAAAACAAGGCCAATAAAAAGTGCATTACTGCAAATAGCCAATCGTGCACCAACTGCACCTGCAGGGCGATCGGCCCGCTGCACCGCCCTGCACCGCCCTCCCGCACATGTCACCCGAGGAGGACGACGACGACCCCCGAGGGACGGCGGCGCGGCGCAGCGCAGCGGGGAGGCGGGGAGGCGTCCGCGGCGCGGTCTCGCTGATCCCCGGGACTGCGCGGCGCTACGCGGCGCGAGAGAGAAAGAGAGCCGCGGGGGAGTGCGTCCAGGAACGCGGAGGCTGGCGGAGGCTGGCGGAGGCGACGCGGCCTCCAAGGGGCAGCCGAGGACCACGTCGTAAATTACCGGCGGCCGATCGAGCAGAGAGGCGGAAAAAGGGGAAGCCAACTGTTTTGACACAGTTTTGGGGGAGATGGCGATGTAACTCGCGAACGCGACGAGCATTACTGTCGCGGAAACGTGAAAAATAAATGAGGTACCGCCACAGCACTGCGAACATCGGGGGAGCGCAGCACAGTGGGCCAGAAGGCCGGTGAAGGCGGTCAAAATCCAGGACGTGTGTAGAGCTCCAGGGTCGCTGAACAGGACTCGAACCGAAGGTGTGACCCCACCGATGGATTGCTCTCCGAACGAGGAATCCATTGGTGGGATCACACGTTCGGTTCGAGTCCTGTTTAGCGACTCTGGAGCGCGAAACGCGTCTGGATCCGAGTTTTGGCCGCCTGCGCCGGTCTTCAGGCCCACTGTAAATGCACCCCCTGCAAGGTGAACGACTGGCAGCCACCGCGTAATGGAGTTCGGCAACCCTTCCGCGCAACAACCCTCTCTGTGATGAACCCGAATGAACCTGTCGCGGACGGCGACGGCGACACAATCAATTTCACGACCGACCGGCGCGGCGCGCGCGGCAGCTCATCTTGTCCCCCTTGAGCGTGGCGGCCAGTCAGGCGGCACGGCTAGTGCGCGGCCGTCGAGACCCGCGGGCCGCGAAGCCTGGACATTCCATCGCGGACGCTGGAGGTGCCGGAGGCTGCTTCTCACGCCGGGGTCGTCTATTTACCCCGCGACGGCGAAAACAGCAATTACACTCGATTCCACGGCGGGCGCGGAGCGCGGAGCTGGCTGCATCTGTTGCTGGTGCGTTTTATTATTATAATCTGACCCGCCGCGCCCCGCCGCCTCCCTGGCCGACACCCTCGAAGCGCGCGTCCGATCGGTCACCTCGCCGGGGAGTGTGCCGGGAGGGTGACGGCGTGGCGGGGCGGGCCGTCAAGCAGATGGGGGTTTGTGTGGTGAGTGTAATCGTCGCGGGTCGCGCCGCCGATTGAAAGTTGACGAGTGCGTGATGCTGATGAGGGGAAGCGGAGGCCGTCGCTTTCGTCATTCTTTTTTCGCCAAGTCGCATCGCAAGATGAAGATGGAAGTCGGATGGTGGTGCAGAAAAAGAGGAGCGCTCTTGAAAATGCACCGCCCGGAGGCTCCACATCGTGTCCCACCTGGGACAAACGCACGCGCCGAAGGGTGTCTCCGCCCACGGCCCACGGCCCCACGGCCCACGGCCCCACGCCCACGGCCCACGGCCCCACGGCCCCACGGCCCCACGGCCCCACGGCCCCACGGCCCCACGGCCCCACCCCATCGCCACTTTGAGCCCGCCGACCGCGGCCACATATCAGAAGCCCGTCACTTGCCGCCAACGGATGTGTCATGTTTACGACGGCGAGGCGACGGAGGCAACCTCCAGGACCTCCAGACGGTGCGGCGCCGCGGCGCGTAAAGCGGTAAAGCGCGCACGGGGTATCGACGACCCGATAACCGCGTCGTTATACGGTCACGCGCAGCGCGCTGCTCCTTGTCCCTGAAACGGTTTCAACAACCCGCCGACTCGACGCGTCGTCGCGCACCCCGCGGTAAACGGCTTAGCCCGCCCCTCCACGCCAATTAGCCAATCAGAGGGCGAGGCGGGGGCGAGGAGGGAGGGGGTCGGAAAGAAAGACAAGACGGCCGAGTGGCTCCAGCCAAGGCACGGCCAAGGTGGGATGATAGGATTAGCGCGGAGAGCACACCATTGCCTGTTTGGCCAGCTCGTTACAACCCCTTCGCAGCCACCGCCACGCGCCACGTCGGCGTCGGAGAGGGAAACAATCGGATTCGGCTGTTGGGCGCTATTTGGTGGGTTTTGCGCCTTTCGACGCCTTTCCCCGCTACTTCCGGCTCTACAGCCCCCAGAGGCCCAGAGGCTGCCCCGGGGCCGCAGCCTTCTGCTTTCCTTGGCCCGGCCGTCTGCCTGCTCGGTCTGCGCGGCGAGCAAACACTCGGTCTGCACTGCAGCAGCGGACTCCGAGCAATGCTCTCGTCGTTCCGTCTCTGTCGCACTCTTGAGGCGTTCCGTGTGGTTGTGAGAGAGACAGAGCTCTGCGCACGGCACCCCTGCCTGCGTGCGGGCGAACGACGAGTACTACGAGGACGGCGAGTGCATGACGGCGATGCGAGGCGCGCGTGACGCACGCCACGACCTGCGCGTCAAGCGGGTCCGAAAGAGCCGCCTCGCCGCTCTGTCTCTGTCGCACTCACAGTGCGTCTCGTGAGGGTGCGACGACGCAGGCAGAGCCGGCAGAGCGGCCCGCCATGGGGTTGCCTACCCACTTGCGGCAGGGGCCCGTCGCCTCCCTGTCCCGAGAGACCAGGGCTCTGCACTAGTGCACTGGAGGGACGGGACGGAGACGGCGAGAGGCGGCGGGCGGGCCAGCGCGGCCAGCGCGGCCAGCTCCAGGCCGACCCCTGACTCTGTAATCCCTGGAAAATAATGGCCGGGTGTTTGTTGGTGTCGGTGCGATCCAGCTTGGCGAGGCAAGGTGCCATTGATTCAAAGCGGGCTGGGTTAGCGGGCCGGCTTAGAGGCAAAGGCAGGGAGGGGTGCAAAGTGGCCGTGTTTTGTGTGCGTGTTTTTTTAAGGCGGGATCAAAGCGTGCCCGCTGCATGTGCGCGAGGCGCTTGGCGTCCTGGGCGTCCGGGGCTAATGTGGCCTTGCTGGGCGTTTGTGTTGCAGATTCGCTCGTCGAGATGAACCACCACCACGGGGACATGCTGCCGGCCGACTCGACGAGGGACATCTGCGGGATCATGCCCAGGAAGAGGTGAGTGGGACCGGAGCACAGTGGGCCAGAAGGCAGGTGGAGGCGGCTAAAATTCTGGACCCGTTTTGAGCTCCAGAGTCGCTAAACAGGCCTCGAACCAAACGTGTGACCCCACCAATGGATTCCTCGTTCGGAGAGGTGGGGTCACACGCTCGGTTCGAGTCCTGTTTAGCGACTCTGGAGTTCGAAACGCGTCCAGAATTTTGGTCGCCGCCACCGGTCTTCTGCTCCACTTTAGGGCGGTCGGGCTGCCTACCCAGCAGGCGCTGATTGGTTGATTGGGGGTTGCTGTTCGCAGGGACCGCGGAAGCCTCCAGGACTGCGGCCTCGGTGGCGGCGGCGGGGGCGTGTCGGGGCTGCCGCTGAGCCGGGAGGAGCGACGCCGCCGACGCCGCGCCACCCTCAAGTACCGCACGGCGCACGCGACGCGAGAGCGGGTGCGCGTCGAGGCCTTCAACGTGGCCTTCAGCGACCTGCGCCGTCTGCTGCCCACGCTGCCGCCCGACAAGAAGCTGTCCAAGATCGAGATCCTCCGGCTGGCCATCTGCTACATTGCGTACCTGAATCACGTGCTGGAAGCATGACCCTCGCCCGACGCCCCCGAGGGCACATACCCGCCACCAATGTCCTTCGAGGACTACGGCGGGGGCGTCGACTGCTACATGTACTAGGCCCAGTGTCTCACTGGCGCCGCACTGCCCGCTCTGCCGACGGGTCAGTCTTGAGTCTCGTGGAACGTCCTGGACTTCCCCCACGAACTCTCACACCAGGGCCGCCCTTCATTTGGGGCGAGCCTTCTGTAAATAGAAACGGGTGCCGCAAAAATGGCTTTGTGGATTAGGTTCTTGCATCATCGTCATAGCTGTAACAGGTCTCTAAGACCTTCCCTACAGCCGTCTTAAAAATGGAAATGTTGATTTGGGTTGGGTAGTTCTATGACATGGTATGAGTTTATCATACCAAGAAATGTTGATTTGGGTGGGGTAGTTCTATTACAGGGCATGAGTTTATCATAACAATAGTATATATCCACAGTCAAATATATTTACATGTTAACTTTTGTTGTAATGCTGCTCTTTGTGATTTTGTTCTATTTTCTAGTCAATTAAGTTAAGTATAGGGTAGTTGGGTGAAACTAAACCTGGGGTCGTATAAAAATTAATTGTAGAAAAAAATTGATGTTTAAGTGTAGATAAATATTGAGCAGAAATTTCTCAAATACACATTGACTTTGTTTTAAGGTACTCAAAAAAATTTCAATGTTGGAATTTTAAGTTTAGATGAGTTAACTTTTATTTTAAAGCCAGATAGGGCCTTGTTATTGTGATATTAGTGTTGGGTATCAATTTTTCCTCAAAATACAAGACTAAGTAAACTTATTATTCCATCATATAGTTTTAATTAACATACAAAACATCACTCACAAAAAAAGAAGATGTACACTCAACAGCCTACAACAAAAATTAAACTTCTGTTTGTTCAAGTACATAACTGTTTCACTTTTTCCTAGGTGGGAGAGGAAAACTATGTATAAAATTTGTAAATAACATTGTAAATGACTTACTTTAAATCAGTACTATTTCCTAAGTTCCATAGAAAAGTCAGTCAATTCTGAGTAACACTTTTTGACTTAGACTGCTTGCCTTCTGAATGTGTTCTCCAATGAATAGTAAGAGTACTAGCTTTGTTAAATCCAGCTTGGCATATATCACATCTGTATTTCAGCTCTCCAGAATGTGTTGCACAATGAGATTTTAAATTGCTTGCAGTTGTGAACTCCGCCGCACACTCTTTGCAAACAAATGGCTTTTCCCCTGAATGAATGCGATAGTGAACTTTGAGAGTACCTCCTTGAGAAAACCTTGCGCCACATTCACTACACACATATGGTTTTTCACCCGTATGTATGCGATCATGGACTTTGAGATCACGAGCTGTTAAGAATGTAGCAGAACACTGTGAGCACTTGAATGGTCTCTCGCCCTTATGATACATGAGATGTAGCTTGAAATTACTAGGAGTACTGAAGGAAGCATTGCACTGCGGGCACTTGTGTGGCCTTTCACCGGTATGCACACGTAAGTGCACCTTCAAAGTGCCGACCTGAGTAAAGGTAGCTCCACAGTCTTCACATTTATATGGTCTTTCACCCGTGTGAGTCCTAGTGTGAATTTTCAGATCTCTACTTGAAACAAATGAAGCCATACACTCAGTGCATTTAAATGAACGAGCTGTTACATGATATTTGACATGCCGCTTAAGATGAACAGAAGATGGAAATGACTTGCTACAGATTGGACATTTGAGGTCACATTCTAAGGGCTCAGGCTCCTGCATGGAACTTTGCTCTTGTTCACCATTTTCAACAGGAGAAATACTACCTTGCGTTTGATTATTACAAAATAATTGTGTTTCGTCATTATTAATTTGGCTTTCTTGAAATTCTGTTTCACTTTTCATTGCAGTAAGGCTATTGCTTGTGACCTCATTTTGCATCCCAGTGCTGATACCCATGTCAAAACTCGTAAAATTACTTTCCACATTGGCAGCATCTCCTTTAGAACCAAGAGCAGGGCACTTGGGTTCACGAGGCAGATTCAAGTTGGTGAACGGTCCTTTGCCAGGACCTGCTTCAGACGTGCTTTGCTTCAGATGTGGTTGGGACGAGTCGAAGCTGAATGCCATAGCTGTAATTAAATTCAAGCACGAAAATCAGCACACCGAGTATTTTGGCAGGATAGTCATAGTCATATGTCCTGCAGGACATAAGATGTAAACAAAGCAGGGTTAACAAAATCATTGTAATACCTCCTGTTTCTGCAGGTTTGGACTGATTTGAAACATGAAGTATGATGTTCTCAGACACTGGAAGTGAGTCCTAGCATGATTCGCTTCCTCCTAAGAACAAAAATTAGGTATTTATATACGTTTTTTAGACAATCAATAAACGCCCCCGTCTCTCTGCAGCGTCTGCAGCGCAGCAGCCCAAGCAGCAGCAGCCGGTGGGGAGGGGGGGGAGGCTTCAGTCACTTGTTCTGCCGCGCTCAGAAGCGCCAAATTCGAAACCAGCGGAGTGGGAGACACAGGGACACAGGGACTCCCTGACAGGGAGCCAGGGAGCACGCGAGGCGAGGCTGGCAGGGGTGGCAGGGGTGGCAGGGGAGGCGCAAAGGGACGAAAAGAGCCCCTTCTGGCGACGCCGACAGAGACTCGAAAACCCAATTGATCGCCTGGAAACACAGCTGTGCCCCCGGCCCGCGCGGGTCGGCCTCCACCCCCCACTACCCCCAACTGCCTACCCCCGCATCACACCCACCCCCAACATGCCCAACATCCCCAACCTAGAGACCCTAGAGACCTCAACCCCATGCCGAGAGGCTGCTTTCAATGAGAAATCGAAAGTCGGCACTTGAGTGCGCAGGTCGGAGGCACTCACGCCTCGTTCCCTCAACTAATAACTTTGATGAATAACAAAATTGAAATCGACTCAAGTTGATGATGACCTCCAAAACACGTCGGGTTCCTCGGCTCCTTGAAATTGCCTACATTCAGGGGACAACATACAGCGCTGCGGCACGGACATAATGCGAACTACTGATATGGCGGGAGATTTTGAACTTGGAACATATCAAACAAGGTTTGGGAAGTGAATTTTGATCCGTATGACCTAAATTTCAATGAAGATGCTTCCCATGATTAAATATTGTGGCCTAAAGTTGATCCCAGGCACATGATTGACTACTTTTTGGTGTTCCCAAGAGCTCGGGTTGGGGTGGTCCGACTAAAGCTTTCTCGACATCTTTTATTTTAGACCTAATGTTTTTTCTTGAATTATTGATTGACTATTTTTGTGTTTTGTGATCACTGATCATGTTAACCTAATGTTTCATTAGAACTTCAATGTTACTTCTTCTTGAACAATTGAGTGAAAACTTATTTATGCAGCTCCTTTTTTCTTTGACTTTTTGTACGCAAATAAAGTGAAAAATTAATGTTTAAAATTTTTATTAATTAAATCTTAATATATACTAACAAATCGTTCACTTGCATGCCCTTATTATCACAGTTAAGAGAGAATTATGGCTGTAGTGTCGATTTCTTTATGAACTGTGATAAGGGCGAGCAAGTGAACGACTGGTTAGTATATATTAAGATTTAATTACTACAAATTTTAAACAAAGGTGAGGAACATTAATTTTTCACTTCATTTGCGTACAAAAAGTCAAAGAAAAAAGGAGCTGCATAAATAAGTTTTCACTCAATTGTTCAAGAAGAAGTAACATTGAAGTTCTAATGAAACATTAGGTTAACATGATCAGTGATCACAAAACACAAAAATAGTCAATCAATAATTCAAGAAAAAACATTAGGTCTAAAATAAAAGATGTCGAGAAAGCTTTAGTCGGACCACCCCAACCCGAGCTCTTGGGAACACCAAAAAGTAGTCAATCATGTGCCTGGGATCAACTTTAGGCCACAATATTTAATCATGGGAAGCATCTTCATTGAAATTTAGGTCACACGGATCAAAATTCACTTCCCAAACCTTGTTTGAAATGTTCCAAGTTCAAAATCTCCCGCCATATCAGTAGTTCGCATTATGTCCGTGAGGTAGCGCCACGGGTCGCCGATGTTAGCAGCAGGCCAGAGGAAGCTAGAATACCAGATAGTCTCGCTCGGGTATAGACACCAGCGGGCCCAATGATTGGCTGGAGGCAACCCCTTGTCACCCCCTCCACCACCCCCACCCCCCGGACTCCGGACCGATCACCGACTCGGCGGCCTGCTCGGCTCGGCGGCCTGCTCGGCTCGGCGGCTCAGCGGAAGGCGGAGCACGTCTGTTTATGAAATGCAGTTTGCTTCACAAGTTCTCTTAAATAAATTTCTTTAGGTTAATTTTGTTCTCTGTCGCACCTTTTCGTCGCTACCTTTTTGTATTTTTACTATTGGTGAGATATTTTCAAGGATGCACTTATCTCTGATTCTGCGGCAGCGGTGTCCAAATATTGTCGCGCGGTGTATGGTAGTGTGTTTTGGAGGTTATGATTCTTTAGTCATGTATTTATTTCGATTTTTGATTTGTTGACAGTATCTTCGTAGATCCAAGTCGGTTCCAAGGGTCGAACTAAGTTACTAGACGATCGGTTTTGGCGATTAATTTTTATTTCTTGTGTATGTAAGAGGAGCCTTGAATTTGTTTTTCTCTAAAGACAATTAATCTTTTAGTTATTAATTTTCACTCTTTACTTTCAGTTTTGGCAGTATTATGAACTTGTTTATCTGAGTTATTCATCATTAAAATCTGAGATTCATTCATTCAGCGATCTTATCTGTATATTTTGTTGATGCCACAAGATGAGATGGATCCTAGGGACTCTGATATAGTCTTTCTTGAAGAAGTCAATTGCAGTAAAAGTGAAGGCAATGCAGGGAATGCGATTCAGTCTAATGGAAACCCTCTCAAGGATGAAATCATATCGTCCTGTAATGGTGACGACATCCACGAAGATGTTCCCGACTTTGATGATTTGGAGGTGCTAGATTGTTGGGAAGAAGTGGAAGAAAGCAATGAAGAAACTGAGGATATTGAACCTTCCAAAGAAAAAAGGGAGGAGCCTGTTCAGAAAAAGGGAAGTGAAGTCAACCCCCCTATAAGTAAAAAAACGGAGGAACCCAGCAAAACTTCAAAAGCCGATAAGGCTGCAACAGTAAACAAATTGACATCTCCAGAGAATCCCAAGACAGCCTCTTATAATAGCTTAAAAGCAACAGAACCTGATGTTGAAAAAGCTTCTGACAAGAAGGTGAAAGACTCTGCAAACAATGCCTCAGTCAAATGTTCTTCAAACAAGACAAAAGATGGAGAAAAAGTTAATGTTAAGAATGTTCATCAAGAATCAAAAAAGAATAGCTCTCCCACCTTTACATCTAATGCCCATCAGAGTAGTGCAATAGAACCTGATAAATCATCCTCAAGATCTCATGAAAGTTCTAAAGATAAACAGACATCTCAGAAAAAATCTAATGATAAGGATTTGTGTAGATCTAGCCCTAATCTTCCAAAAGATCCAACTGAAACTAAGGTTGACAGGTTTTTAAAAGAAATGGCTCTTCAGCATCCTCATATAGTCAGTTTAAATGAAACACCTCATGATGAAAAATTACTTGATGCTATCAGCAGTGATTCAAGTAAGCATTCAAGTATTGTGAGTCCGCCAGGGGTGGACCCTTTTGATCTTCCCCCTGGAGTTGATATGGATCAAGTAGCCCAAGACACAGGAACGTCTCTTTTGCTTAATGCAATCAGACAATCCCAGACACAGCCAGGTAGGGGAAACCAAGAAGAATATCGACAATTACCCAAGGAAGGTGCAGACTCATCAAAAGTAATAAGCAGAGTTAAAGAGGGAAGAAGCAGATCACCATATTCCAAAAATCATCATAAAAGTAAAATGGAGAGAGCTGTTGGATCACCTGTGAGTTCCCGTGAATCGTTTTCTCTATCTCCTACACCGTCTCCAAGATCTCGTCGGTTGTCACCATCTTCTGTTCAATACCCAAGAGTACCTCCAACTTTTAATTACATGGTTTCAAATATGGATCCAGGATACTCAGAAAGACCATATCCACCTCCTTTAATTGAAAGAAATAGGTATCATAGATCTCCAGTTAGAGATCCACGTGACCTGTCAAGATCCTTGTCCAGAGAACGGTCACGTCATCGATCACGATCAAGGTCTTGGTCTAGAGGTAGAACGTTTGTAAGACGCAGGTCCCGGTCCAGACACCGCTATTCCTCTAAAGAAGAACACTTTCGAAGGTATCGTAGAAGCTCATCAAATACTAGATCACCGACCCGAAGAATGAGATCTAGGTCTCGCTCTCAGTCTCGCTCCCAATCTCGCCATCAATATAGGAATAAAAGATCGCCTTTGTGGGATGATGAACAAAGATCAAAAAGACCTCGCTTATCTAGGTCTATTTCAAGAAGTCGGTCTCCATGGAAATCTCATGCGGAGTCTTTATCAAATGAGGTAAATAGTAATAATATAAACAATGATGATGTAAACCATATTAGTTATTTTATTTATGATTGTTTCTGCACAATATATCTTTTGCCTTTGTTTTATCTTCTAGTGGCATACAAACTATTCGGATGGCAATAGAAATACCCTTGTAGATGAGGAAGTCAAGTTGGAACATGACATGGCTCGATTTATTGCAACCAATATTGCTGCTACAGGCCTGCGGCCTCCTGTTAGTAATGTAACAGGTTGGTTTGAGACTGAAGTCAAACCACATGATAAACCATCCAATAGTCAAGCTATTCCAGGACCTCCTCCAGATATAATTGACCATGGTATGCCTCTCCCACCCCCTCCACCAGATATATCTGAATTGATGACTCCTGAAGAGATCAAGGAAACAAAGAGTCAGCGAGAAATGGTAATGGAACAAGCTATACTACATGTAAATCATAATGTTAAAAAACTTAATTTTAATATTTTTATATTTATAACAATCATTTACAGAGCCCAGTTCCAGCTGTGAGTCTATCGAGTCTTTTGGAATCTGCTGTCACAGGTTTGGGAATCAACAATTACAATAGTGTCTTAATAAGCATAATTTCGTGTTTCTAATTTTATTTATTCTTTCTTGTAGGTTTTCCTGAAAAAGTGATTTTAGATCGCTGCCAAGATGCTATAATGAAGCTCCATGATGTGAGCATTAAGCCTGGTCGCTTTGCTGTTATTTCAACTATAAAAGTACCACAGGCTAATCCTTCATCCACATTTCAACCATGGCAATCTGTACTCAATCGGTCTCTTGCCAGTAAAATTCATTTTACCTATAGCAAATTACCTGAACAGCCAGTCTATTGGAAACCTAAACCAATTCCAATAAGAACAGCATCCTTGCCTGGCAAAGAGGCACTGCCAGGTTCTTCTAGTCATTCACTCAAAATCCCAGTTCCTTCTACGGTTGACATGGATCGCTCTGCTTTGTTAGAAAAGATATTCTTGCTCACAAGAGAATTGCAGGAAGTCCGTCGAGTGCTTGACAGTCGATGTACTACCAAAAAGCATGTTGCAGTGCAGGCGTGTTTTGTAAATTATTGTGATAGTTGTGGAATTGAAATAGAATCTATGTTGGCTGATGAAGGACAACCTCAACAAGAAGGTAGCTCCTTTGGTGCATCCTGCTTCCAACCCAATAGTTCCTTAGTACATGAACCAACAAGGCAACCTGTGATGGAGTATGATTCTTCATGGCATCAAGTTCCTCTGCCTGTGCCAGCTCCACAGCCAGTGAGACAACCTCAACCAGTGCCAGCTTCAGAGCCAGTTAGACAACCTCCGCCAGTTCCAACTCTGCAGTCATTGAGACCTTCTCAGCCTGTGCCAGCTCCTCTTCTGGTGCCGCCACCACCACAGATGGCTCCTAATTCTGATTTGAAGCAGAGTAACCCTCAGACCTCTGGGTTGTTGATCTCAAATCCTTCTGGTTCATCACTTCTTGGCCCACCTCCCACTGTGGGACCTAGTCAAACAGTAAACTGGTGTTTGACTGAGCAGCCTGGACCTTCATCTGGTGTTGGTGGTGCTATGTCATTGCAGAGTCATGTTCCTTTCAGCACTACAGGGGTAAGATTGTGTTTGTGTGTGCCACTTGCTGCATGTGTGGCCTTTTTGTACAAATGTGTGCTAAAATGCATTTTTTTTACAGCTGCAGTCGGAAACAAATCAGTTAGTGAATCAAACCGAACCCATTCCTGCTTTGATGTCTTTAGAAGGTGGGGCTAAGAAGATGACCAAGAACAAAACTGAACCTGCACAGACGGCAGCGCCTCTTCCACCCACACTGAAGCCGAAAGTGAAAATAATGGCTCCAGAAGATTATGACGTTACCAAATACCAAATGGTGGGTGATGAACACATGTTTGATCTCATTTCTTACCTTTGTAGTGTTGGAAAACAGATCAACTATAATCCAAAATTTGTTGCCCATGGATTGAGCATTGACAACTTACTCAAAAACGTCATTGGTGCTGGGCAAAAGCAGGCACCAGTAATATTATTCTTCGGAATGTATGATGGAAACTATAATGCAAAAACTCTGTGTAAGTTTAAACAGTTAGTTGGCTTTTTAAAAAATCGGTGTAGTCATTTGGTGCTGATAGAACCACCACCAATACCAAGATATGCTTCAAAGTGCAGACCTGCCTGGAATTCTTTTAACACCCTAGAACAGGATTACTCGCCCTTCAAAAGTGAAAATGTGAGTCTTGTAAGAACAATGTCATTTTTACTCTCAAATTCTGGCGCACCAAACAGGGCACTCTTTGCTGGTGCTCAACGTGTGGGTACGGATGGACTAAAACTTATAGCAGAAGAGCTTGAAAAAGTGATACTTGCAGCAAAAAACAGGCAGAATCAGTCGAGTTAACTAGCAGAGCAAATTTCTGTTCTCTTCTTTTAGCTTCTGCTGAAACAAGAACCTAAAAGAGTGTATTTGAAAAATTATAAAAGCTCAAACCAACAAATGCATATATAGCAGCAAACTACTGTATAATATATTTTTTTTTTGCAGGACTATTTGCTGGTTATTAAATTGCTTAAATTGATTTTTTGTCCTCGCTATGTTTGGTTTCAACTTTAAGATAAATAGTAAAATAGTTTGTCATCATTATGGGCACTGTTTGTTTATGTCTTCTATGTCACTCATATCGTGACTGTCTTCTTCAAAAAAGCTCAGCTAAAAGATCATCTACAAGACTGATCAAATCATCTCTGCACATAAATCCTGCTCATCAAATATTACAGGTCCTTGTATTTCGTCTAACTGTTCAGAAAATCATTAAGATTGTGCATCAGTTTTAAAAGAATTTCAATTACCGTAGATAACCGATAAATGTGTACATTTTATTCTATTTAAATGTCTATGTACACATGTATTGAGTATCTAACAATGAAGCGAGTCTGATCCACTTACAAATTTTTAAAAAGACTTTATTATGATTTAATCATAATAATTTTGTATATAGGCAATGGAAGAGCCATCCAATGTGGGTAGAATGAGTTTTTTTCCCCCAGTTTTGCAAAGATTGCATGTCAAGAAAATTTATTGTATTGTTTTATGTTTGGAAAACAAATTTTCCAATTGTGTTTGTTCCATCAATAAAATATGATGAAATCAGTTGACAATGTTAGAGTGGTTTTATATTTAATTCCTATTCTAAAAACTTGTCCATTTTTTAGGCAATAGGCAACAGAACTTCTGCATGTAGTGAAATGAAACCTAAAGTCTCGCCACTTCGGAGACACATGTGGTTCGGACATCTTCGTATTTTCTATCCTTTCAATGTACCTCTTCCCTTCTACTCTCTGCGTTACCCCTTTGCTTGCATAGCAACCGATACGAAACGCGCTGCTTTTGGCGCACCAATGCCAAGTCTCGGCTCATCATTCACTGGGGGACGAGCGGTCAACTTCCCTTGTAAACAGCGTAGCCATTGGTCTAGAGGCTGAGCAAGTGACGTCACAAGATGAAATAAGCCAATCGCCTTGAGTGATGGAGGTTGTTTTCATTAGGACGCGCAGACGCTATCTATGGATATAAGTAAAGTTTATTAAGTGAAGCGTATACCGATTCAAGTGAGAGAGGGACAAATTTCACTCGCGGTAGCCATTCAAAGAGAAAATTTTGGACTCCGTCCAGCGGCAGTCTGACGACACGACGCGAGCAGAGCGAGTCTCGAGCCTTGGGGACGGGCCGCTTGAGGGCGCCACCGACTCGGCCGTTGCAAACCACGCCAGACCAGGTTCAGTTCCGTTGCTGCGTCTGCCATGTTTTGATCGGATTATTGCTGGGGTCGCAGCCAAAACGTCGTATTTGCGTGTTTTCCGAATTTCTCGGTGTGTGCGAAGTGCTGACGATATGAACCGACTCGGTAACTAAATTCGGTGCACCATGAAGTGTCAATACTCCGACCCAAAGTTATTTCACGTGACCAAAACAGTGCCGTACAGGCTACGAAAAATTCCAAACCTCTATCTCAAGTTTTCTAAACGCAAGAACTCAATTTGCCAGTGTATATGGTGACGACTTGAAGTGAAACTCGGCTTAAATGCCTTTGTGACGATGTCAGTGCCGCAGTAAGGCGTGTTTTCCGTGTAATGGTCGGTGCTGGTGTTGGTGTTTACATGGATACCTGGTTGTTGTTATTGTGGATGTGCTAAGCCGTGTGGATCTTCGCCGTGTTGGATGCAGTGTTCAAGTGGTTCAGTGTTTGCCTGACTTGAAGCGTCTGGCCAGTGTCGTCGATTTTGTGCCCCGAGCCTTGAGCCTTCCGTGCGCGGATCGCGGAATCGCGAGTGAAGTGAGAGGCTCGTAGTGGTGGATGGTGCCCTGGTACCGTGGTGAGGTTAGGCAGTGACTCGATGGTGCTTTTGAGTTCGGACGTGTCGACACCGACTCGCTCGTCAGCCTGCGTGGCGATGGACTGCACCTCCGTGGCGGCGGCGATGGTGCCGCACCCCATGAAGCAGCGGGGCGAGCGGGGCGAGCCGGCTGGAGGCAACACAGTGTCTGGCGGAGTGTCTGCGGCGCCGTCGTCCTGGCACCACCACAAACATGAGCAGCTCATGCTCCTAGAGAAGCAGAAGACTAAAGGTGAGTGTTTTGGACGGCTCTGTCTTGCTGTCATGATGGCAGTGCAGTGTCCAGTGCATGCTGTTTGTTTACGCTGTCCCACCCCCCTCTCAATCAGCTGGTGAAGCGAGACGTGATGTGGTAGCTGGCTGTCGTGGTCAGTGGTTTGGGGATGCTTGTCGTTGTTTGGCTTGCTGCTAAGGTTTCTTCCCGTTGTTATGTTTGTAGCCCTGTGTAAAATTTAATTTTTTCTCCCATGTTCTTGGCTGTTAACTCAATTTCACTGCTGTGAGGTACTGCTTGTAATATTAATCAGTGAGCCCAGCTGGCCAGAAACAATGCTGTGGTTGCTACAAATGTGCTTGTACCTTCATTGTTGACATTGGTTGCTAATAAGCGCAATGCTCATAGAGGAGGTTGCAATCAGTGAAGCGAGCGCAAGGTCTGTCAGATTGGGTGAACTTTTCCGTATTAATGGTGATACTGGCAGTTTGCAGCCGCTTATTGTTATTTAATGTCTAACATGGATGTTTTAAAGTGTATATCTGTACCTGTTTTGCATGTCTAAAATAAGTTTGACTGATCTTAAATTATGAGAGAGTATCACTTGACAATCTACAAATCTGGTGAGCTGTCATGATGCTAATGGTGCCTGGTTGCCTGGTTTCAAGGAATTAATCTGGATGTGGTCCTGGGACCGGGTGCATGCCAAAAGGGCCCTCTTGGTGGAACTGTTTGCAATATTTGAAAGTGGAACCTTTCATTGCTTGTGTCTGAAAGGTTCCTCATTTTGGTACAAACAGTCCGCCCCTTCTCTCATACCCTATGTAGATGAATCAATGCTTCGGCCGGTAAAGGGCGATAGCGAAGCCCTGCCACTGCGAAAAGCATTGAAAAACTGATCGGTTTCTATGTTTAGCCTTTCCTGTCCTGCTGTGTCTCAGTCCACTGTAGCAATGCCAGCAGGCATGCTAGTGCCAACGGCGAGACCTCATTACTAGCCTCTTTTCAGATTCGAACACGAACGGCGAATGGAATGCGATTCAATCATCACTGTCGACGCGTATTGGGATGGCGCTGCAAGTGCACATCTGTGCCGCCTGGTCCGCGCGGCCCGCCGCCGTACTGCGCCTTGCTCCACATATTAGGCCGCCCCGCCCCGCCCCGCCCCGCCATGCATCGCCGTGCCGCGTCCTTGATCTGTCAGGGGAGATGCTTTGGCGCGGCGCGGGCTGCGGCCGTGCCCCGCTAGGCCGTGGCAGGCCGTGGCACCAGGAAGTGCTGCTCGCCCTCCCCGCTCCGCCCCTCCATGCGCACACGTGACCCCGCACCCCGCACGTCCCCCTTTATCGCCCCGCACCCCGAATTGTCTTTTTCATCTCGCCGGGCCGCCGGGCAGCGATAAGGGGAGCGCCGCACCGGCCAGGAAAAGCCGGGAAAGCGGTGCGAGAATGGTTCCGGGGACGCAGGAAACTCGTCCGTCCGACCGGCCTTGGGGAAAGGCCCACCGCCCCGCGTTGTCATCATCGAGGGTCGCGCTCCCGCCATCGCTGTTTCATTTCACCTTTGTGTTTTTTCGGCCCGTGGCCCTGTGGGTCGAGGCGAGGGCCTAGTGCCCCTTTTCCTCTGCAGCTGTGCAAAGCCAGCCGTCGAAAGTGGCGCCTGTCCGCCCGCCCGCCGGGCTGGCCCGCGCGTCGCGGTTCGCGGTCCTTGTTTTGCCGAGCGCGGTGTTTGCCTGGGATGATGCGCGGGCCCGGCGGCCTGGGCCTAGCCCGTTGGCGCGGACGGGCCGGACGCGTTCGAGTGTTTTCCGTCAACAAACTGCGCGCCGGCCGGGCCGCGGGCCCGCCGGGCAGCACACTGATTCCGAGAGTCGTTTTCGTCGCCCTGTCTCTCTCGCACTCATAGGCTTTCCCTAGAGGTGCGAGAGAGACGGAGCGACGAAAACGACTCTGCCCTGTGTACGGGGCGGCTCGAGGCACAACAAGGGGCCGAAGTGAGCAGTCGCGGCGCAAATCGCGGCGCAAATCCGACCCGAGCGTCACCGCACTGTGCGAAAAAACCACAGTGAATCCCGTTAATTTTTTTGCCGGGATTTACTGTAGTTCAGAACACAGGATTTACCGTGCCTGGCTACAGTATCTACTGTACCTGGTACAGGATATTCCGTACTCCACTCCTGTGGTACAGTAAATCCCGTAGAAAGTACAGTAGATCCTGTTAAAAAAGTACAGTAAATCCTGTACTCTGAACTACAGTGACCGCTGTACTAATCACTACAGGATTTACTGTGATTTTTTCCCACAGTGCGGCCGGGGGCCGGGGCCTCTCTGCGGCCGGGGCGCCGCTGGTGGCTCGCTGGCCGGCTGCGAGGCGGGACGCGACGCGACGCGATGGGACGGGACGGGACGGTCTCTAGCGAGGGCCCCAGCCTGCCCGGCCTGCCTTCCCGGCCCCGCGCGCCGCGTGCATACTGCATGCATGACCGGCATGGGCTGGACGGCGCGTGGCGCGGCGTAGCGGGGCGAGCGGAGCGTCCCACATGCTGCATACTTGTCCCGTCCCGTCCCCGCGGCCTGCACGCTGCAGGCCGGGCTGCATAGCTAGTCGCTGCACTGCACTGCCAAGTCGGCTGGGGCTCGCAGCTTCCTGCGCGGCGGCAGCGGCCCGGCTGGTGACTCAAGCTGCATCCGGTGCCCCCGCGCCGCGCCGCGCCGCGCCCCGGCCGACAGGTCAGCTGATGCCGCCGCCAGCCGGCACCGCGCGGTGGCCTGGCTGGCTGTCCGTCTGTCCGGCCGGTGGCGTGCAGGCCGTGCAGGCCGTGCAGCAGGCGCGTGGGACGCGGGGCAGCGCGGCGCTCACGCACGCGACACGCACGCGACACGCCCCTCGCGATGCCCCTTGCTTGCCGCTCGCCAGGGCCCCGAGGCCGCGAGGTCGCGAACCTGGCGGCGTTGCGCGGCGCCTAGCAACGGCGCGTTGCGGTCCCCGCCGGTCCCCGGTCTCGACCGCCCCGACACGTAGCTGGCGGATTTTCAAGTTATCGTGGGACCGCGCGGCCGCCCGCCCAGCGCCCGCCCGCCGGCGGCGGCGGAAAGTGAGAGTGTTGCCATGCGCGCCGCTGCCCCGGTGCCGCTGCCGCTAGTGTAACGCGTCCCCACGGCCCTCGCGGCGTCGCGCTCGTGACGGAGTGACGCCGGGACATGTGACGCGGAAATGCGCGCCGGCGTCGCGGCGGCACGGTCGCGACGGGGGGCGGCGCCGGGGTTGGCTCTGTCTGGACACGCCGCGCCTTCGCCTTGCCTTTCGTCCGATAGGTACGGCGGTACGGCGGCACGGCGCGCTATTTCAAGCCGATGCGCTCGGCGGCGTGGCGTGGCACGGCCGTGGCATGGCGCCTCCTGCCTGCCGTCCTGCCGTCGCCGTCGTCGCCGCCCGGCAACAGCCGCATCGCGACGCCGTGCGGCCGTGGCGCCGCGACGCCGCCACGCGCCGCCACGCCCTTGTGCGAAGGTCACTGTAAATATTGCGGTGCAGGCGGTGCGTCGCCGAGGATGCAGCGGCGGGGCGGCGGGGCGCCGGGCCGGCGAAGGCGGAGCGCAGTGCCGTGCTACGCAGTGCGCGTCTTGATATAGCCCCGGCGCCGATCTGCGGCCGTGCCTCCTTGGCCTGCGCTAGGAATAAACCGCGCCTTAGCGCCCACGACTGTCTGTGCGCGGCGCGGTGCGGCGGCGGCGGCGGCCTGGGGCGCTCGGGACGTTGTCCCCGGCTGCAGCGTCGTCCTGCCGCCCCCTTCCCCGTCCCAAATACCGACGACTTCCTCCTCCTCCTCCTCGCGCCGCTTAGCGCGGTAGGCGAGCCGGGAGAGCCCCCCTGCGGCCTGCACCACGGCCTGCACCATGGCCTGCACCATGGCCTGCACGCGGCTTCCTGCAGCCCTCGGAAGGGCGCGTGGCGGCGGGGCGCGGCGGGAGAGCGCCGGGTGGGCAGGCCAGCCCGCCGCGCGTGGCTGTTCGGCGGGGCTGCCTACCCTCTGGCTCGCGGGCGCCGAGGCTGGCTGGCTGTCTGGGTGGTTGCCGCCGGGTACCGCGCCGAAAACTGAAACTCAAGAGCCAGGCGCATCGTACGATTAACCGGCCGCCCACAAATTTGACTCAAACACGATTTGTCGACCTTTTGACTAACGTGGCAATGCTGCTCCCAAACCAAGGTGGTTAATCCGCACCCTTACGAAGGAATGCGTTCTCCCTCGGCAAAGCAGTATTTTTAATGCTTCCTCTAGCATGCCTGGTCGACGCAGCGGGCTGTCGCCGGCCGGCTGGCGCGCTGGCACGCTGGCGGACTTTGCGGGACGCGGTCGGGATTTGCCTGGACGTGGACGGGAAGGGGCGGGGCGGGGCGGGGCGGGGCGGGGCGGGGCGGGGCGCTTAGCGGCCTTGCGGCCGCGGGTTGGGTCCCCGCCGGAGCCGGCTCGGCACCGCGTGCGTGTCGTCTGGCTGCGTGCCGCGTGCTGCGTGCCGGCCTCGGAGACGTGCTGGGCGAGCGCGGCGAGGGGGTGGCTTGATGCTTGATGCATCACCGCTCTGTAGCACCGGCGTCGGGTCACGACCTTTAATCCCCAACCCCTCTCCGCACTCTGCCTTTTCTCTTTTGACATAAAGCTGGCGATTTTTCACGAAGCAGCAGCAGCGCGCGGGGCTTGGCTCGTCCGCCGCGCCCCCGTCGCGACCTCTACCCCCCCCCCCCCCCCAGCGGACTTCCCCGCGTCCGCCGCCACTTCCTGACGGGCGGCTGGGCCCCGGCCGGGCCGCTGTCGCGCTGTCGAGGGGGGTCGTCACTGGGTAATGGAAGTTGGAGGCCGGCCGCCCCGGCCGCGGTGCGTGTGCAACAGCGCAGTGGTGTACCTGTGGCCGATGGCCGCCGACGGCCGAGGGGTTTGGCGGTGTGAAATGTGATATTGGACGCGCCGCCCCCGCTCCGCCCGCGCGCGCCGCCCCCGCCCTGCGGCTGGGTCGATTGTA